AATAAAATCACAGAATGGGTTTGTGCTACTGTGCAAATACCACCTCCTCATCCACATCTAGATTCTTTCCAGGAATCTGAATCACACTCGTATGGACACTAGGCAGTAATAGGCTATGTAAACAAGATGTTGCATGAACCTTGCATAAACTATGGCTTGGCTGATTGAGTCAGGCTTGGGCCCCCATAGGTCACACTCACATAACCTAATGAAGCATTGATGGCTGCTGGAAGTCATGTGACATGAGTGTTTATCAGTTAGTCAGGACCCCCCTCATGGCCCCCTGGGGACAGTATGTAACCCATGGTCACCAGCAGTGATGACCACAGGGGTTATTTCCGATCTCTGACGCTCCTGTGTGACATTCTGACCTCTCAACTGATATGTCTTGTGGTTTATGTTTTCAGTTTCCTCAGAACACACTTAGACAGAGGGGGGAACACACAGGAAACTGATATTGAGTGAGTGAGTGAGAGAGAGAGATTGGCAGAGAGGTTTGCAACTCTCTTTCTTAACTCATTTAACGCCTGCTTATGTCACCAGGCAGGCCAAAATTCCATCCCACCACAACAGGCTGAAATTTCAGGCGGCCTTTTCAAACAGCTATTTCACTAAAAGGGCATTAGCATTTTCACAATTTCACAGTATTATTCCAACCTCAGTGTGGAAATATGTATTTAAAACACAGGAAAATCACATTTTTGACCACTAGGCCTTAAAGGAAAGAATGGAAATAAGGCGATTGCGTGGGAGAAAGACAGAATAAGTGAATCGGGGAGATACTGCATAACGATTATAGCATTTTAAAAAGAAAGGTGGGAAGAGAGAGGAAAACAAAGAGGGGGGATAGAGTGAGTTAGCAGGCGTGGTTGTTTTGGCAGGTAGCCTACGCAGCTGCTTCATACAAGGCCCCTACATAGCATGCAGCAGGAAAGGGACAGTACACACTTGTGGGTGGGGGGGGGAGTATTTATGTCTGTAATAAAGCCCTTTTGTGGGGAAAACTCATTCTGATTGGCTGGGCCTGGCTTCCCAGTGGTTGCAGTGGTCTAAGGCACTGCATCGCAGTGCTAGCTGTGCCACTAGCTGTGCCACTAGAGATCCTGGTTCGAATCCAGGCTCTGTCGTAGCCGGCCGCGACCGGGAGACCCATGGGGCGGCGAACAATTGGTCCAGGGTAGGGGAGGGAATGGCCGGCAGGGATGTAGCTCAGTTGGTAGAGCATGGCATTTGCAATGCCAGGGTTGTGGGTTCGATTCCCACGGGCGGCCAGTATGATTTTTTATTTTTATAAAGTATACACTCACTAACTGTAAGTCGCTCTGGATAAGAGCGTCTGCTAAATGACTAAAATGTAAAACATTTTGAGCCTATGCCCTCCCAGGCCCACCCATGGCTGCACCCCTGCCCAGTCGTGAAATCTATAGATTATGGTCTAATTAATTGATTTCAGTTGATTGATATCCTTAAATGAACTGTAACTCAGTAAAATCTTTGAAATGTTTGCATGTTGCATTTATATTTTTGTTCAATATACTATTATTCAGAAGCAGGACTGTCTGTCTCAGCCTCTTCCTCTGATAGTGGTGTTCACACACACACCCTCCATGCAGATACGCACACTCACACCCCCTCTCCTCGGGGAACACTGTGTTCTGCTGACCCAGCATTCTCAGGACGGAGCAGAAGAACGTTGGGAGTGCTCATCGTCATGGTGACAGGTCCATTTATCAGGACCATGAGAAAACGGTGCCCTGCCTTCCTTGGCCCCTCCACCCTTTCCCCAACTCTGACTTGCAAAAGTGTGTGTGAGTCCTTTATCAACATGTACAGTGCCTTCAGAAATTATTCACACCCCTTGACCTTTTCCACATTTTGTTGTGTTACAAAGTGGGATTAAAATATATTTTTTGTCAACTAACAAATTCATAAAATAAAACACAAATATATCTTGATTAGATAAATATTCAACTCCCTGAGTCAATACATGTTAGAATCAACTTTGGCAGCGATTACAGCTGTGAATCTTTCCGGGTAAGTCTCTAAGAGCTCATTTTTCTTTTCAAAATTCTTAAAGTTCTGTCAAATCAATTGTTGATCATTGATAGACAACCATTTTCAGTTCTTGCCATAGATTTTCAAGCAGATTTAATTCTAAACTGTAACTCGGACACTCAGGGAACATTTACCGTCTTCTTTGTAAGCAACTCCAGTGTAGATTTGTCCTTGTGTTTCAGGTTATTATCCTGCTCAAAGGTGAATTAATCTCCCAATGTCTGGTGGAAAGCAGACTGAACCAGGTTTTCCCTCTAGGATTTTGCCTATGCTTAGCTTCATTCTGTTTATTTTTTATCCTGAAAAACTCCCCAGTCCTTACCGATTACAAGCATAACATGATGCAGCCACCACTATGCAGCAACCACTATGCTAGAAAATATGGAGAGTGGTACTACGTAATAGGTTGTATTGGATTTGCCCCAAATATAACCCTTTGAATTCAGGACAAAAAGTGAATTGCTTTGCCACATTTTTTGCATTATTACTTTAGTGCCTTGTTGCAAACAGAATGCATGTTTTGGAATATTTTTTATTCTGTACAGGCTTTCTTCTTTTCACAATGTCAATTAGGTTAGTATTGTGGAGTAACTAGAATGTTGTTGATCCATCCTCAGTTTTATCCTATCACAGCCATTAAACTCTGTAACTGTTTTAAAGTCACCATTGGCCTCATGGTGAAATCCCTGAGCGGTTTCCTTCCTCTCTGGCAACTGAGTTAGGAAGGACGCACGTATCTTTGTCGTGACTGGGTGTATTGATACCATCCAAAGTGTAATTAATAATTTCACCATGCTCAAAGGGATATTCAACGTCTGCTTTTTTATTTATACCCATCTATCAATAGGTGCCCTACTTTGCGAGGCATTGGAAAACCTCCCTGGTCTCTGTTTGAATCTGTGTTTGAAATTCCCTGCTCGGCTGAAGGACCTTACAGATAATTTTATGTGTGGGGTACAGAGATGAGGTAGTCATTCAAAAATTATGTTAAACACTATTATTGCACACAGAGTGAGTTCATGCAACGTATGTGACTTAAGCACATTTTTACTCCTGAACTTATTTAGGCTTACCATAACAAAGTGGTTGAATACTTATTGACTCAAGACATTTCAGCTTTTCGTTTTTAATATTAAAAGTTTAAATGAATAGAAATCTACATAAATCCAGTTTGACATTATGGGGTATTGTGTGTAGGCCATTGACACAAACTGTAAATTGAATCAATTTTAAATTCAGGCGGTAACACTACAAAATGTGGTGTTACAGCCTCAGAACCCCAAGAGACACAACTAACCGGGTCATCGAAGGGAGACCCTTTCAGCTGAAGTGAAGTTAACCCTTTACATTTGTGGAATTATTCTAACAGAAGAAGTATAAAAATGCATGACCATGGTAGCAATTGAAAGAAAACACTTTGGGGATTATGGGGAAATGATCAGACCAAACGTGAGGACCCAACAGTTCACCTGACACAAGACTGAATCTAAACATTACACTATTGATTTAATGTGCATTTTACATTTACTGTACTTTTCACAGCATTTGTCAATAACAAAATCTGAAAATATTCTGAATACATTCAGTAACATAATACAAATATTAATATAAACTTTGGAGTAGGTGCAAGATCAGAAAATGTGATTACAAGGGTTTGAGTGAGAGGCCTAACTAGTGTCTCCAAGTGCCCACACACCTCTCCAAACTGCACAGTTCCTAAGTCATTTCATTGCACTTTTATGCTCCTAGCTTTGCCATTGAAGAACTGAAGCAAGCACACTTGTAGTTTTTTGTTTGCGTGTTCCGCAGCAAAAGAAAAATCACATTAGTACAAACAGGCTCATTCTGTTCAGGACAACCCAGGGTATAACGCATGTCATCCTTGTAACTGTGGATCAAATATGGCGATCATAAGGAGTTTTCAAATATGAAAAGTGAAGTGCACATTTGGACTCATTGGTGTGTGGTTTGCTTGGATGAAATCAAAGTGGTGTTTATTATAATCTGCAACGTCTCATCTTTCAGAACACATCAACTCCTCGTGATTTACAGCATTTCCCTCACTCAGACAACAAATGTGCAAAATTAGCGGGAGGGATGGGGGCACCGGCCAACAAATTCTATATATTTTTGTTCCCGCTACATTTTTAGATATTTCTTAGTCATTTTTAGGTCAGAAAATACTGTAAAATCACCAGGAATTCAGCAAAACATTTGTTCAATTTAGGAAATCTGTTGCCAAGTATTCCCACAACAAAAAAATAATAATTTGATTGTGTCTCAACGTAATAAAGGTATGAAATTATTGTTATTTTCAAATACAATCTTTTATTGGGCTTAGTTGTGGTCAATTTGCAGTGTACAAATGATTATACTTATGTCCCCCCCCCCCCCCGACCATCCGCTCCAACAGAAATTGGCCCGCGGCTAAATCTAGTTGCGTACCCCTGCTGTACAGCCACTGGGTTCCAACTTAGATGCTTATCAATTACAAAATATGCCATTAGCATGAATGCTAACCCCATCAGCCTTGGAAACTGTGACTCTTTAGCATTAGCCTAGTTTGGCTTAGCTTAGCCTTATCACAGCCAGACAAGCTAATGGAAATTTGGGAGAGAAAGGGCAGTGCTTTAAGGTCACACGCTGTCATTCCAGCAAGGGTTATTTGTAGAACAGCCAACGTTCCATTCACCAGCCATGTAAACCCTGGTGATGGAATGCTGATGTCATGATGGCGACTCGCTGGTGTTCTGTGAGCGTTCCCTGAGCTTTCCGTGAGGCCTCTTTTCCTCGCTGCTTCCTGTTCAGAATCCAGGGTGTGTTCCTCTTCCTTCCTGACCCCTGTCAGAATCTCGGTCACCCTTCCCTCAACTTTCACAACTGTTGCACTTTACTGTGGGTGTGTGTGCGGTTGTGCAAATTCTGACAAATGTCTAGAAAGTAAGTTACGTGACTCCGACAGAATTAGCCTTCTGAAAAAGATGAAAAGACAAAATTGAGAAAGGAAAAGATAAGGAGAGGAGAGGGATGATGTCACATTCTGTGTGAAATAGTTGTCACAAACCAGATGTTCTCTGTCCCTGTGAGATCATACAGCTGCTGTCCAACTAGGTGGGTCAAGGCCTCTAGTCTGGTTACTACAGTGACGCACCTTGGCCTCCAGACAAGATTGGGTCACCTCCAGGGAACCGTGGTGTGTGAAATCCGCAATAACTGGCATGACGTCATAGGTCAACACAGCAGGAGATATTAACCTTTGCCCAGACAAACAGAGAGAAGGGGTGCATTCGTTTTAGGTTGCTTGGTGCGCCAGTGGAGATTTCACTTCAGGACTAATGGAAAGGTCTTAAATGTACAAACTCAGCCCACTGCTGGCCCGGGCGAGCTAAAATGAATGCACCTAGAGAAGGAGAGAGAGACAGAGAGAATTGAGGTGGAGAGGGGGATGAGGGACCGAGAGTGGGGGATGATTTGGGGACACAGGATTAAGGGACCACTGGTTGGGGTCATCAGTGGATTGAGGGACCACTGGCTGGTCTCTGTTATCTAGGCCTTCTGGAACGTTCTCTGGCTGTGGCCATGGATGTCTGTCATCGCCGTGGGGACCATGTGTTTCCATTCTACTGTTGGCACCATGGCAACCAGGAGTGTCTTTGACGGGACCTGTCTCTCACCCTTTGTTAGAATCCAGTCCTGTAGGCCTGCAAGGTGAGCTCTGGATACTCGAGACACACACACACTGAGGTAGTTGTGTGAATGTGTGTGCACCGATGTTCCTCTGCCAAGGGACCCATGGGTAGAGATATATGTATACTTTATGTGGAGCTTCATGAAAAACAACTATTTATCTTAAGTTGTGTCCATGTATCCACATGCTGTTATTAATAGTTAGAATCAGTGTGTAAAAGTAGTCCTTTCGTCTCCAGTGGTCAGCAAGAATTGCTTTTCCTATATTCAGGTGTATGTACATACAGTGTGGGAAAAAAGTATTAGGTCCCCTGCTGACTTTGTACGTTTGCCCACTGACAAAGAAATGATCAGTCTATAATTTTAATGGTAGGTTTATTTGAACAGTGAGAGACAGAATAACAACAAAAAAATCTAGAAAAACGCATGTAAAAAAAAAAAATGAGGGAAATAAGTATTTGACCCCCTCTCAATCAGAAAGATTTCTGGCTCCCAGGTGTCTTTTTATACAGGTAATGAGCTGAGATTAGGAGCACACTCTTAAAGGGAGTGCTCCTAATCTCATCTTGTTACCTGTATAAAAGACACCTGTCCACAGAAGCAATCAATCAATCAGATTCCAAACTCTCCACCATGGCCAAAACCAAAGAGCTCTCCAAGGATGTCAGGGACAAGATTGTAGACCTACACAACATTTACATTTACATTTTAGTCATTTAGCAGACGCTCTTATCCAGAGCGACTTACAGGAGCAATTAGGGTTAAGTGCCTTGCTCAAGGGCACATTAACGTCATTTAGCAGACGCTCTTAGCCAGAGCGACTCGCAAATTGGTGCGTTCACCCTATAGCCAGTGGGATAACCACTTTACAATTTGGGAGGGGGGGGGGGGGGGGGTTAGAAGGAACACTTTATCCTATCCGAGGTATTCCTTAAAGAGGTGGGGTTTCAAATGTCTCCGGAAGGTGGTGAGTGACTCCGCTGTCCTGGCGTCGTGAGGGAGCTTGTTCCACCATTGGGGTGCCAGAGCAGCGAACAGTTTTGACTGGGCTGAGCGGGAGCTATGCTTCCGCAGAGGAAGGGGAGCCAGCAGGCCAGAGGTGGATGAACGCAATGCCCTCGTTTGGGTGTAGGGACTGATCAGAGCCTGAAGGTACAGAGGTGCCGTTCCCCTCACTGCTCCATAGGCAAGCACCATGGTCTTGTAGCGGATGCGAGCTTCAACTGGAAGCCAGTGGAGTGTGCGGAGGAGGGGGGTGACGTGAGAGAACTTGGGAAGGTTGAACACCAGACGGGCTGCGGCATTCTGGATGAGTTGTAGGGGTTTAATGGCACAGGCAGGGAGGCCAGCCAACAGCGAGTTGCAGTAGTCCAGACGGGAGATGACAAGTGCCTGGATTAGGACCTGTGCCGCTTCCTGTGTAAGGCAGGGTCGTACTCTCCGAATGTTGTAGAGCATGAACCTGCAGGAGCGGGTCACAGCCTTGATGTTGGCGGAGAACGACAGGGTGTTGTCCAGGGTCACGCCTAGGCTCTTCGCACTCTGGGAGGAGGACACAGCGGAGTTGTCAACCGTGATGGCGAGATCATGGAACGGGCAGTCCTTCCCCGGGAGGAAGAGCAGCTCCGTCTTGCCAGGGTTCAGCTTGAGGTGGTGATCCGTCATCCATACTGATATGTCTGCCAGACATGCAGAGATGCGATTCGCCACCTGGTTATCAGAAGGGGGAAAGGAGAAGATTAGTTGTGTATCGTCAGCGTAGCAATGATAGGAAAGGCCATGTGAGGATATGACAGAGCCAAGTGACTTGGTGTATAGGGAGAAAAGGAGAGGGCCTAGAACTGAGCCCTGGGGGACACCAGTGGTGAGAGCACGTGGTGCGGAGACAGCTTCTCGCCACGCCACTTGGTAGGAGCGACCGGTCAGGTAGGACGCAATCCAGGAGTGAGCCGCGCCGGAGATGCCCAGCTCGGAGAGGGTGGAGAGGAGGATCTGATGGTTCACAGTATCAAAGGCAGCAGACAGGTCTAGAAGAACAAGAGCAGAGGAGAGAGAGTTAGCTTTAGCAGTGCGGAGAGTCTCAGTGACACAGAGAAGAGCAGTCTCAGTTGAATGACCAGTCCTGAAACCTGATTGGTTTGGATCAAGAAGGTCATTCTGAGAGAGATAGCAAGAGAGTTGGCTAAAGACGGCACGCTCAATAGTTTTGGAAAGAAAAGAAAGAAGGGATACTGGTCTGTAGTTGTTGACATCAGTGGGGTCGAGTGTTGGTTTTTTGAGAAGGGGAGCAACTCTCGCTCTCTTGAAGACGGAAGGGACATGGCCAGCGGTCAAGGATGAGTTGATCAGCGAGGTGAGGTAGGGGAGAAGGTCACCGGAGATGGTCTGGAGAAGGGAGGAGGGGATGGGGTCAAGCGGGCAGGTTGTTGGGCGGCCTGCAGTCACAAGTCGCAGGATTTTATCTGGAGAGAGAGGGGAGAAAGAAGTCAAAGCATAGGGTAGGGCAGTGTGAGCAGGACCAGCAGTGTCATTAGACTTAACAAACGAGGATCGGATGTCGTCAACCTTCTTTTCAAAGTGGTTGACGAAGTCATCTACAGAGAGAGAGGGGGGGGGGGGGGGGGGGGGGGGGGGGAGGCTGGAATGGGCTACAAGACCATCGCCAAGCAGTTTGGTGAGAAGGTGACAACAGTTGGTGCGATTATTCGCAAATGGAAGAAACACAAAAGAACTGTCAATCTCCCTCGGCCTGGGGCTCCATGCAAGATCTCACCTCGTGGAGTTGCAATGATCATGAGAACGGTGAGGAATCAGCCCAGAACTACACGGGAGGATCTTGTCAATGATCTCAAGGCAGCTGGGACCATAGTCACCAAGAAAACAATTGGTAACACACTACGCCGTGAAGGACTGAAATCCTGTAGCGCCCGCAAGGTCCCCCTGCTCAAGAAAGCACATATACATGCCAGTCTGAAGTTTGCCAATGAACATCTGAATGATTCAGAGGAGAACTGGGTGAAAGTGTTGTGGTCAGATGAGACCAAAATCGAGCTCTTTGGCATCAACTCAACTCACCGTGTTTGGAGGAGGGGGAATGCTGCCTATGACCCCAAGAACACCATCCCCACCGTCAATCACCTTTCTAATACAGCTTCCATCTGCTGGCCTTTATATTCCCCAATGTGTGGACAACATAAACATGTGCTGCGCTGCCAAACTTAAACATCAAGAGGTCACAGATACTGTAAACAGGCATGGATACGCACATACATGCACAGAAAGGCACATGACATGACACACACAGACGTGACTGGACAGTCATCCTAGCCGCTACTATAGATAGTTTATATGTGTGTTTAAATAGCTAATTCCACGACCATGTCAGTCAGTCATGTGCCTTTCTTGGCAATGCCACTGTCAGTCAGAGAAACATGCTGAGAAGGATTATTACCACAGCAAGTAAGGTACTTGGAGTCAAACAGACAGGCCTGGATGAGATCTTTAAGGTCAGGGCCCTCCGTAAGGCTCACAAAATCATTTTAGACCCAAGTCACCCCCTGTACCTGGACTTTGAATTACTCCCCTCTGGGCGTAGGTATAGGGCACCCCTCAGCAGGAAAAATAGAACGAGACAATCATTTGTGCCAGGTGTGATATCCCTCTTAAATAGCTCGGGCAAATGTTCCCATTGACCCCGTAAGGCCAGCAGGCTAGTCTTTGTTTTAAATGTTTTAAATGTTTTATTTCTTATTTCTTACTTTTATTGGTGCGTGACTGTTATTGAAAGTTGTATTGTCAATCTTGTTTTGTATTTAACGCCACTTTAAATGTGTACATGACACTGCAACAAAATTTCCCCATGGGGACAATAAAGTAAGTAAGTCAGTCACCCCCCTGGCCTGCTCAGAGCAGACGGAGGAATTCTCTATCTCTGGCTAGAGAGAAGAGAGAGAAAGGGAGAAGGGGGTAGGGAAGAAAAAAACATGTGCAATGAGTGGGATGGAGAGAGAGAAAAACAAGAGTATGGTATACAAGCACCGTGTGAGAGACTGCTAGAGGGAAAGAAGTGAGAAGGAGAGAACGGGAAAGGGGGGAGACGTGGTCTTTGTGCTGGTCTCACCAACACTCTGCTAAACAAAACATTTCTCTGACGTCTCCAAAATGTTCTGTTTGTCGCCAAACACCCTCCTACTCAGCCCACGAACCGACTCCTTTTCCTAAACTCAAACACAACTTGCACAACACTACCTCAGAGCAAACATTCTCCGCACAACCCACAAAACACTAAACACCCCTAAAACAGGCTCCTTGCTGAAAATACAATTCCTGGTCGCTGGAAAATAGTGATTGCTGAAATGTGTGGAAAACATATTTTCTTGTTTCCATATTGAGCCAACTGTACAATTACTTAGTTGTAGGAGTGTTAGTGTGTGTGTAGAGCTTGACGTCAGACAGTTTTGTTTATTTCTTGATCAAGATATTTAGTTGCAAAGTTAAAGATAGCACAAAAGAAAGACCCAGAATAGCCTTGAACTTGAACTAAATGTATGTCTTTTGTCTCTTGTTTGGCCAGGGGGAGGTGTGACCTTGTCCAGCTGGAGTAGGAGGCTCCGTATGGGGGCCAACCTTTCATGTGGGTTTGGGGATTGAGGCCTACTCTGACTGGTGCTGGTTTGGGGTGGGGGTTGGATAGCAGGGTTGAAGTGGGACTGTTTTTTTTTTATCCAGACAGTGTTGTGTTGCCTGCTACAGGCACTATGTGGGACAGCTGTGGAGGGCATTTAAATATTTATTTATTTTTTATGGTGAATTGGCTAGGGTTTGAGCCTGGGCATCTGGTGCTTTGAGGAGGCCTGCTATTTATCAAACTGAAGCAAAGTCAGCAGGGAGGGAAAAAAACAACAAAACCCCCCTTCCCTCTCTCTCTTCCCCCTCTAGCTCTCTCTCGCTCCATCGCTCTGTGAGTCTGAGGACATGTTATTCAAAGCCCTGTTTGTGTGAAGGGAGTCGTACAGCGCCCTAAAGGAGAAAGCGAGGGAGTGGGAAGAGGGAGCACAAGAAGGAAAGCGCGAGAAGAGGAGGGATGGTAGAATGTACAGCCCAGTTACAGTGCCTTCAGAAAGAATTCATACCCCTTGACTTATTCCACATTTGTTGTTACATCCTGAACTCAAAATAGATTGAATATATGTTTTTTTCTCACCAGTCTACACACAATTCCCCATAATGGTAAAGTGAAAACATGTTTTTAGAAATGTTAGCAAATTTATTGAAAATGAAATACAGAAATATCTCATTTACATAAGTATTCACAACCCTTTGTAGAAGCACCTTTGGTAGAAATAACAGCTTTGAATCTTTCTTGGTTAGTCTCTATGAGCTTTCCACACCTGGATTGATTATTATTATTTTTATTTATTTATTTTTTGGGGGGGGGGGTAGATCAGCTTAATATTGCAGATAGATTGTAACTTCCATCAATGTAATTGTCTGCATCACTTCCAATCCCCCATGTTTTTTACCCAAGAACACCATCCCCACCGTCAAACATGGAGGTGGAAACATTATGCTTTGGGGGTGTTTTTCTGCTAAGGGGACAGGACAACTTCACCGCATCAAAGGGACGATGGACAGGGCCATGTACCATCAAATCTTGGGTGAAAACCTCCTTCCCTCAGCCAGGGCATTGAAAATGGGTCGTGGATGGGTATTCCAGCATGACAATGACCCAAAACACACGGCCAAGGCAACAAAGGAGTGGCTCAAGAAGAAGCACATTAAGGTCCTGGAGTGGCCTAGCCAGTCACCAGACCTTAATCCCATAGAAAATCTGTGGAGGGAGCTGAAGGTTTGAGTTGCCAAACGTCAGCCTCGTAACCTTAATGACTTGGAGAAGATCTGCAAAGAGGAGTGGGACAAAATCCCTCCTGAGATGTGTGCAAACCTGGTGGCCAACTACAAGAAACGTCTGACCTCTGTGATTGCCAACCAGGGTTTTGCCACCAAGTACTAAGTCATGTTTTGCAGAGGTGTCAAATACTTATTTCCCACATTAAAATGCAATAACAGCTATGAATCTTTCTTGGTTAGTCTCTATGAGCTTTCCACACCTGGATTGATTTTTTTGTTTTTTTTGTTGGGGGGGTAGATCAGCTTAATATTGCAGATGGATTGTAACTTCCATCAATGTAATTGTCTGCATCACTTCCACTTCCAAAATGCTTTTTAATTCTATGCGCTATACATTTTGCTAGAATTTTTGCATCACAACACTGAAGTGTAAGGGGCCTCCAATTTTTTTAATGGACTGGATCTTTATATTTTCCACCACTGTTTCAGTAATAATGAGATCAGACCTTCTTCTTGAGTGTCAGATAATCTACCATTTACATAGGAGTGGTTAAAACATGCTAAGAGCGGTCCTCTTAGTATATCAAAAAAGGTTTGGTATACTTCGACTGGTATGCCATCCAACCCTGGAGTTTTCCCAGACTTAAAGTCTTTAATGGCATCCAGAAGTTCCTCCTCTGTAATTTCACCTTCACATGAGTCTTTCTGTTTGGCTGTTAATTTTACATTATCAATAGAAAAAAAATCTCTACAATTAGCTTCAGTTAGAGGAGATGGAGGCGACTGAAACGAAAACATATGCTTAAAGTACCTTGTTTTCCTCCTTCAAAATATAATTTGGTGAATCATGGGTTACTCCGTCCATTGTAACCAATTTCATTAAATTATTTTTGGTAGCATTCCTATGTTGAAGATTAAAAAATAATTTGGTGCATTTTTCCCCATATTCCATCCAGTTTGCTTTATTTTTATAATATATTACACTTGATCTTTCTTGAATAAGTTTCTCAATTTCTTTTTGTTTTTCCTCTAATTTATTCTATGTTACAGTTTTTATTTCCATCTACCTGTTCTGTTAGACTTTCTATTTTCTTTGTTAGTATAAACTCTTTTGACCTAAATTGCTTTTGTTTTCGAGATGAGTACTGAATTGCATGGCCTCTAAAGGCACATTTAACGGTGTCCCATACAATAAGGGGATTTGCTGTACCTATGTTATGTCGGAAAAAGTCAGTTATAAATTCCTTTGTCCTAGTTAAAAATAAATTATCATCCAATAGGCTTTGATTAAATTTCCAATATCCTCGCCCATGTGGAAATTCAGTAAGACTAATGTATATGCCAATTATATGATGGTCCGACCGCATTCTGTCCCCTATCAACACTTTTTAAACTTTTGGCGCCAACGAGAATGAGATAAGAAAGAAGTCAAGACGACTAGCTTGATTGTGTCTCCGCCATGTATATCTCACTAGATCAGGATATTTACGCCTCCATATATCTACTAGTTCTAATGTATCCATGACATTCACGATTTCCTTAAGAGCATGAGGGTGATCGTTTGTAGTGTGATTTCCTTTATGGTCCATTGAGCTATTTAAAACAGTATTATAATCCCCCACCATAATAATATTGTCTTGAGTTGCTTGCAGGGTTGATCATTTATTATATATATTGTCAAAGAAGTGTGGATCATCATTATTTGGTCCGTAAATGTTAATGAGCCATATCTGTTTTTTGGTCCAATAACATATTTAAAATAATCCATCTACCTTGCGTATCTATTTGGACAATTTGCACATTCGGATCGAAATTACTATTAATTAATATCATCACCCCTTTTGAATTTCTTTGCCCATGGGAGAAGTATATTTCGCCCCCCATTCCTTTTTCCACGCAACTTCATCTAGAATTGTTGAATGAGTTTCCTGTAAACAATAGATATTATATTCCTTCTCTTTGAGCCATGTAAATATTGTTCTTCTTTTGTTATTATCAGCTAAGCCAAACTCTGTCAAATTAGTTGTTGATCATTGCTAGACAACCATTTTCAGGTCTTGCCATAGATTTTCAAGTGGATTTAAGTCAAAACCAGTGGCGGCTCCTGAAAAAATTCTCAGGGGGGGCAATTTTTCTGATGATTTAGGTGACCTACACACATTTTAAAAAAGATATGTCCAGCAACAACATGAAGACAGGGGCAGCATATAAGTCAATACTGATATACACATTACTTGCTTCAAAAAGGCCTCATGGTTGAATTGGAAATATGTGCACCTGAGCATAATTCACAACAAGCAAGCAGGAGCTTTTGATAGAGGCTACTGAAGACATTGATGCAAGTTATTGGTAATAAGAAATGTTTATAGACTTCCATATTCTGCCCTCTTGTATAGATTTGTGAAAATGAACAGTGATAGACATTTTGCCTGAAAACAGAATTTGAAAATAATTTCTAGAAAAGGTAAACACAGCTATCTGTATGGCTTTGTAAAAATGAACAACCATATTCTGGCCAATTGTATAGATTTGTAAATATGATGATGTCTCCTTTCATGCATACATTTTCAAATAAAGCTCTGCTTTGAGAAAGATCGAATGATATTGTTTAATCTTACCTTATGGCCTGCACACTGCTTGTGAAGCTGTCGAGGGCACGTTTGATGAAGACAGCATCGATGTCCTTCTTCTGTAGCTTCTGGTACAGAATGTCGACGTGGGGCATGATTTTGTGAAAAAGCCCCAGGAAAAAAATAAAATCTTCTTGCTATCTATGTACCTCAGCACAAGCACCAGCTGTGTCTGTGTAGAAACGTCCGTGGTCTCGTCAGCTTGGATAGCTACGAAGTTCGCCGACTTCACCTCCTCCACAATATGTTCCCTCATGACCGCTAGCATACACTCCAGTAGCTCGTTTTGAATGGTCTTTGATGTGCCCTTGAAAACTTTAGCATTTTTAAGATGGTCATCAAACACCTCATCTAATTGTGCCACAAAGTTGACAAGTCCAAGAAAAATACCAGGGTTGGTGGAGCCCTCCGTTTCATCTTTGCCTCGCAAAGCTAACTCAAACACTCCGCAAAACTTCACACACTGGATTAGCCGGCTGAGGATGTGGCGGTTCTTGCTAACCTCATCGTTGTGGCGGCGGACAGCTAGCCTGTATCCCTCATCCAGTTGAGTGGCAATGTTCACTCTCCCCAAAGCAGACAATCTCAAACAGCTATCCATGTGGGTCTTTGACAGCCCAATTTTTGGAAAATCCTCGGGTGTAGGACTTTCCCCCTTTAGTAGAAACCTGTTGAATTATTAAATTTGGTCTGGGAGGTCCTAATTGTTTCGTTGCCAATTTATCTTGATTTGTTCGCCAACAAAAACGAACTTCTTTCAAAGAGACAATCGAGTTGCACTGAACGCTAGCCATCTTGATTGACGCTGCTACCCGCTCTTTTCTTAGTTATGTTACGTATGACGAAAGCGCGTAAGTGCAAGCCCTCCCGGAACCCATAGAGATTGTATTGAAAGCTCTGATATTTGAAAAAAAAAAGATTTTACATGAGAGGCTATGAGACACTTCTGGGCGATTTTCAACCTGACTGAAATCGCCCCAAAACGGGCGGGGCCATTTGAAGCACGACTTTAGCCTGATTGGACATTTAGTGGCAGATCAGACGTCTAGATTAGAACACTAATAACTACTGTTGCCGTGATATAATTGATTAGAAAAAAAATCCCTTCCTTTTCCCGTTTGGCAGTGCGTCGCCCATATCGCCCTAATGAACACACCGCCCCTGGTCAAAACTGTAACTTGGACAATCAGAAACATTCACTGTCTTCTTGGTAAGCCACTACAGTGTAGATTTGGCCTTGTGTTTTAGGTTATTGTCCTGCTGAAAGGTGAATTAATCTCCCAGTGTCTGGTGGAAAGCAGACTGAACCAGGTTTTCCTCAAGGATTATGCCTGTGCTTAGCTCCATTCCGTTACTTTTTTATCCCGAAAAACTCCCCAGTCCTTAACGATTACAAGCATACCCATAACATGATGCAGCCACCACTATGCTTGGAAATATGGAGAGTGGTTCTCCGCAATGTGTTGTATTGGGTTTGCCCAAAACATAACACTTTTGTGTTCAGGACAAAAAGTGAATTGCTTTGCCACATTTTTTTGCAGTATTACTTTAGTGCCATGTTTTGGAATATTTTTTATTCTGTATAGGTTTCCTCCTTTTCACTGTTTTCATGTTGTTGATCCATCCACCGTTTTCTCCTATCACAGCGGTTTCCTTCCTCTCCGGCAACTGAGTTAGGAAGGACGCCTGTATCTTTGTAGTAACTGGGTATATTGATACACTATCCAAATTGTAATTAAAACTTCACCATGCTCAACGGTTTAAGAGAATGCCAAGAGTGTGCAAAGCTGTCATCAAGGCAAAGGGTGACTTTGAAGAATCTCAAATATAAAATATATTTTGATTTGTTTAACACTTTTTTGGTTACCACATGATTCCATATGTGTTATTTCATAGTTTTGATGTCTTCACTATTATTCTACAATGTAAAATGTTTTCAAAATAAAGAAAAACCCTTGAATGAGTAGGTGTGTCCAAACTTTTGACTGGTAGTGTATATATTCCACTTTGACATTATGGGGTATTGTGTGTAGGCCAGTGACAAAACATTTAAATTGAATCCATTTTTTATTGTGACTGTAACACAACAAAATGTGGAAAAAGTCAAGCGGTGTGAATACTTTCTGAAGGCACTGTAAGTCTTTCTGGTCTGTCAAATAAGAAAAGAATGGTTCTTATATTTTGTTGCACAACCAGAGAAGCTGGCAACAGTTTTGTTATTCTCCACTTTAAGAACAAGGCTACTTATTGTAATGTAGATCATTATGCTTTTCAGGGAATCTGTTTTTCTTAGAAAGAAAAAGGAAAAAAAGAGGGTCTGCTGACAAGCTAGCCCACTCAAGTTGAATGGATATTTCCCACCATGCATTGGTGTTAAGTTGATGAACACTGTCAATGTTTTCTTTTGACAGGTGGTGGGATGAGTTATTTAAAAGATACACATACTTGAGTCAGCCCATTGGTTCTGACTGACTGTGCTGACTAATGTGTTGACCCTTCCTTAGGGCAAGGCTCCAGAATACAATTTTCCCCCTGGTGGCTCTGGTGCCACTAACTTTTTCAGTTGGTGGCACCAGCCATGATTTGGTGGCACCCCAACAACAACAAAACTTGCAGCGTCACACAATATAATACATTTGAGTCATCATCTTATAAGGTCATTATAAAGTATTCACAATGCTTTATTAAGAATTGTAATAGACTACTGAGATGGTATTAAATAAATAAGTTGTTACATCTAACATGTCCAAGCAGAAATGAATATATTTTGAAATGCAACCTAATCCAGTGATTGTCATGAATTTTGGTTTGACAATTAGGTCATTTTTGTTATATTTTACTGTCAAAATAGTGCTACAGAATTGTCCATTTCTTTTGTTCAATAGAGATGAATTTTCCTTCATCTTTATGTGCACTAATAGTATCTATAGGCCTAATTCAATTGGTGCTAATTCTCACCAGTTGAGGAAGTGGAAACTCAAAACACATTAGCTAGATCGCTAACTCTAAATATAACACCTACTGCTAATAGCAATGTATAAATCTAACAGTAAATGTAATGTCCTAAAAAACTTTGCAATGAAGCCTAGTGCACTCGCGATGGCCGATGTGCAATTTCACACGCTCCGTATTTCAAAGTCATGTCAGATATCTTGATTGTAAAACAGTGTGCTTTGACCTCAATAATGATCGTTGACAATTAAAATGATATCTACAGAAAGCTGCCCTCTCTTTAATATGGACAACTATTTTTTTTTAACCTCCTGCAATTGCATTTTGAAATGTTATACAATCACAAGTGGGGGAGAGAGCGTTTGAGAGGATCGCTCATTACAACAGCTGGCCCCAGCGAAACAGGCAGGCACAGCAGTAGGGCAGACACTTTTTTTTAATTACAGGAATCATGAGGATAATGTATTTTACTGTTTAACAAATTCATGCTTTTATCTGCCCCAAAAATAGGACATTTTGATTGAGGTGAACAGGTAGAATGCCAATAAAATGTTTAACTTGCACAGCCAAGTCAAAGGGTCACAAAATGCGACTAAATGGTCGCAGTCTGGCGCCCTGCCTCAGTTGCGTTGGACTGCGCTTCAACCACATTCCACCAGTTGCCTCATTTGACAAAAACAATGATCAGAGAGAACGCTCCGAGGCAGAGTCGAGGACAAGGAAGAAATGGATCAACAAGAAAAAGACAGAGACCGAAGAAAGAAGGAATGAAGAGAAGACAGAAATAAAGAACAGGGTGACAGAAGAGGAAGATGGAGATTGAGATGGAGATGGAGAGAAGGGTGTGTGAGGAAAGAAATTGATTGACCGAAAGGAAAGAAAACAACTTGAAGGTGACTTGAGGTTAGTCTTTCTAGGTACTGGTAGAACATAACGTTTCAGATTGAACCTCCCTCCCTAGCCTTGGCCCAAACTCTCTAGCTCTCTCTCCCCCTCTGTTCCATACCTCCACTGTGATGTAACTCCCTGTGCCAAACATGTTTTCCTGAAGGAAACACACACACACACAGAGGTCCCATTCATTCATTGCAGCGTTGTTTGTGTGCCGCTCTTTGACACAAGCACCGAATAGTTCACATTTCTCTCTTCCATCTGTCGGCCTGCAGCGGCCAATAAGGTCTTTATTTCTGTAAGATGACTCTTGTTATGAGTAAGCCAGCCTAAACATGCCTTCTGACATGCATTTTGTTTCCCGTCTGACAGCTCTGTGACTAAGCATATGCAGAGGAGCTGTGGGGAGGAAAGCATCTCAACAGATACAGTAAACACACATTCTCTCTCTCACACACTAACACATTGGCATACATATGGTGGCGAGTAGGCAATGTTCTCCAATCTAGTTTAAGTGTGCTTGGGCCGACTAGTCAACAGGAGATAAAACCTTCCTGTTTTCTTCTTCTTTCCACTACTTCTCTCAATGTGCAGTTTTGCCCAGTTAATGTCTTCCTCATACACTGTCTTGTTATACTCGGTACTGTCTCACTATGCTCCCTACTGTCTGTCATTAACTGGTCTCCTGTTTAATCCGCTGCATTAGATCTGCACAACGTTGATTTATAGTTCAGAGATGATGCTGTTGCAGATTTGTCTGCTATCCTTTGAAATCAAAGTCAAACCAAAATGGGGGTAGAGTTGCTGCATTTTACTTCAGTGCATAATAGGTGTGAGACTGGTGCCTGAGTCTCTCCCCCCCTCACCTCTCCCCAGTCCCCCCCCCCGGCTAGCTGGTGTGATGTAAGTGGAAGGGAAGATGACCATCTGCTGTCCCAGTTGCCCAGTGACTGGACATCAGCATTACAGCCTTCCTTTATGGCACCGTTCCACTGGGGAGAGGGGGGCGGGAGAGGGGGGAGAGAGGGAGAGAGACCTGGCCTTCAGAAAAGGTTAGCGAAGGGTCACCGCTTTTTTTTCCACCTCGATCTAGTGCAGCAAATTAATACCATTTTTCTCCCTCTACACACACAGGGACACACATGGATGGACGGACACACACACCAATGCTAACATGGATCATTGGATTTTCAAATTAAATATTCCAGGGTCAGTGTTCAGATGCAGTAGCTATCTGCCGACACATTTCAATGGTCATTGTTAAGTCTAGTCGACCGGCCAACCAAATATTCTCAAGGTTATAGATACTGGCAGGCATCCACACACGCATCCACACGTGCATACATGTACGCGCGCACACACACAAACACTGAGGGCTGGAGATATTACTGGTGTCTGTGTGCCATATGGTGTCTCTACAGGTGGGGGACAGACAGACACCTCAGTAGGTGAGTACAGACAGACGGACAGATGCCGCTGTAGGTGATCTAGACTCAGTTGGGCTTGTGGAGGATGGAGAATATTACCCTCTAGCCCACACAGTTCTATTCAACTCCAATGTCTGCATAAAGACAGACAGTAGGGCTTATTCTTAGTAAGATAATACTGTACGCTGTTGGCAACAACAGAAAAAGGCCTAGGCTCGAAACAAATATATGTGATAACGAGAGGCAAGCAAGGGGCTATGGAAAAAAAACACCCACTCACCACATACAAAAATATCTATCACAGGAACCCCCAGGTATTGGATTTACACTTCTCTGCTTGTCCGCTGTGTCTATGTGGGTGACATCACACCATTAGTTTTTCTCTGTTAATATAGTTTTTTTTCTTCCCCTCTATTTTGTTCTGTAACTTGTTGTTGAGAAGTGTTGTTCAAACCGGTTTCTCCTCTTTTCTTTCTCGCACTCTCTGTCGGTGAGAAGGTGAATAAGTGGGTGGATTGATGTGATACAGTAGTGCCTGGGCTCAGTTGCTCATTACGTTGACAACAGCCTTGTCAGTCTGATGGCTCTCTCTTCTGCAAGCTCCTAAACCTCTATGACTACCTTCTGTTAGCTCTAAATCAATCAAATTGTATTGGTCACATACACATATAGTGCTATGAAAAAGTATTTGGCCCCCTTTCTAATTTTCTCTACTTTTGCATATTTGTTATACTAAATGTTATCAGATCTTCAACCAAAACCTAATATTAGATAAAGGGAACATACTGTAAGTGAAGAAATAACACAACAATTACATATTTATTTCATAAACAAAGTTATGCAACACCCAATTCCCCTGTGTGAAAAAGTAATTGCCCCCTTACACTCAATACCTGGTTATGCCACCTTTAGCTGCAATGACTCCAACCAAATGCTTCCTGTAGTTGTTGATCAGTCTCTCACGTCGCTGTGGAGGAATTTTGGCCCACTCTTCTAATTTTTTACTTAACAATTTTTTACTTAACACTTATTTTTCTTAAAACTGCATTGTTGGTTAAGGGCTTGTAAGTAAGCATTTCACTGTAAGGTCTACACCTGTTGTATTCGGTGCATGTGACAAATACAATTACATTTGATTTGATATTGCGGGTGTAGCGAAATGCTTGTGTTCCTAGCTCCAACAGTGCAGTAGTATCTAACAATTCACAACAATACACACATCTAAAAGTAAAAGAATGGAATTAAGAAATATATAAATATTATGACGAGCAATGTCGGAGTGGCATTGACTATAATACAGTATATACATAAGAAATGACTAAAGCAGTATGTAAACATTATTAAAGTGACCAGTGATTCCATGTCTACAGTCTGATGGCCTTGAGATGGAAGCTGATTTTCAGTCTCTCGGTCCCAGCTTTGATGCACCTGTACTCTATGACTTGGTACAGGAGAGGGGTGATCTGAGGGAAATTGGATTTCACGGATGTGAACTTTCTATAACTTAAGTGTAGTGAGCAATGTAACACTTGAAATATTTAATTAATGTACATTTGCCTGTATGGTATATGCGGCATCAGAATTATTTTGCATTGCATTTGAATTCTAAGCTTAAGTCAAGGATAGGTAATCGGGAGCCTCATAGACTGCATGTCTGACGGGCATCACTGGTGAAAGATCACTGCCATTGTTCGTATTGAGGTCGTATTGAGTGACACAAATTGCTTGCATGGCATTATTTTGTGCTTCTGCTTGGCCATCTGTGGGTGCAAGTGTGTGTGTGTTTCCCTTCTCTTTTATTACCTGTCACTGTATAATTTGCACTCTGGTCCTTACCTGTGTGTGTGTGTGTGTGTGTGTGTGTGTGTGTGTGTGTGTGTACCGCTCAGGTGTGTGGGTGCAGATAGGTAGTGTTCAGTCATTGATTATCAATTACTAAACAGGAAGTGGCTAGTTATTGATTATCTTGGACGATGATGTCACTCCAGATGGACGGTACACAATGTTTGCTTACCCATGAGGTTCTCTCTCCCTCTTTAACCCCCTCTTCTCCCTCGCCTCCTCTTAGCCCCCTCCCTTCTGTCTCACGTCAATGTGGCGGAAAAACCCTTCTGTTCCTCCTGCTCTTCCATTCCTCTTCCTCCTCACTCTCCTCCTCTCTCCCGCTATCCTTGCTGTGGTCATAGAGGTAAGCCTGTTAGTCTAGTGAGCCATATGGAAGATTTTCCCTCGTTGGTTGGTTTGTTCTCCTCTCCTGCTTTTATAGTCCTGTTATTGATTAACCACAGGGTAAACATCTCATCCGCAGCCATCAGAGGACTGCTCAACTAACCACTCGCACGCAGACACACACACCACGATGGTAGTAGTCAGACCTGGGCTGTGAAGTCCAGAGAGGGTGAGACATTTCACCAGCCAGTCTCTTATTCTATCCAGGTATTACTGTTAGACGTGAATAGAGCTAGACCTAGAAGACTCAAAGACTCTGTCATCTTTGAGACAACATGCCAGTTGTACTAAACCTTACAATATGTTTGAAGAAGTCTGTTTTTGAATTTAGGGAAGCACATGCGCTGTTTGTTTGTGTGTGTGTTCTGGTACTTTTAAAGACTTATTTGATATTCCGCTGGACAAAGTGAGTCAGAACATTCAGGGTACACTCTTTTATAAATAGCACTGTTTAGTAAAGTCTACCACTACAGGACATTAAAAGACTGATAAAGGGAAAGAGATGAAGCAAGTGAGAGATAGGGACCCTAAAGAGGGGAGGGAGTGAAGGATGAGGAGAGAAAAGAAGGCCTGAAAGATGGTAGATAGATGGAGGGCCTCAGCTGTTACAGCCAGTACATTTCCCTCCCTCCATATTTCATGTGTGGAAATGTTTAGGTAGTGGAATTAGGGCATGAAGAGGGAAAGCGAGAGAGAGAGGAAGGACAGAACTAGGTTGAGTTTCTGCCCGACCAAATGGGCATTTCATAAACAATTAAATATTAACGGCGATGTTTGGGCCGCGGTGTGCCATTCAAACGAGGCTCTGCCGGTGGTTTTGTTAGGCCGGCTGGTACATATTTATGAGGTAACAGGACCTGGGGAAAACGGTAGCGCCACAACGATTAGGGCATATCACATCCTCTCTGCTTTATAGTGGAGCTGGATCATCATGACACCCATGAAACAAAATGGCAAGAATACCACTGCCTGGCAGGAGGGAGAGCGAGAAAGAGAGGGGCACCCATGTCATTATAATCAGCTTCGCCCGCTGGGTATATACAGTGCATTCGGAAAGTATTCAGACCCCTTTACTTTTTCCACATTTTGTTACGTTACAGCCTTATTCTAAAATGGATAACGTTTTGTTTTTTCCTCATCGATCTACACACACTACCCCATAATGACGAAGCAAAAACTGGTTTTTATACATTTTGGCAAATTTATAACAAATAAAAAACGGAAATATAACATTTACATAAGTATTCAGTTCCTTTACTCAGTACTTTGTTGAAGCACCTTTGGCAGCGATTACAGTCTGGAGTCTTCTTGGGTATGACGCTACAAGCTTGGCACACCTGTATTTGCGGAGCTTCTCCCATTCTTCTCTGCATATCCTCTCAAGCTCTGTCAGGTTGGATGGGGAGCGTCGCTGCACAGCTATTTTCAGGTCTCTCCAGAGATGTTCGATTGGGTTCAAGTCCGGGCTCTGGCTGGGCCACTCAAGGACATTCAGAGACTTGTCCCGAAGCCACTCATGCATTGTCTTTGCTGTGTGCTTATGGTTGTTGTCCTGTTGGAAGGTGAACCTTCACCCCAGTCTGAGGTACTGAGCTCTCTGGAGCAGGTTTTCATCAAGGATCTCTCTGTACTTTGCTGCATTCATGTTTCCCTCGATACTGACTAGTCTCCCAGTCCCTCACGCTGATAAACATCCACACAGCATGACGCTGCCACCACCATGCTTCACCGTAGGGATGGTGCCAGGTTTCCTCCAGATGTGATGCTTGGCATTCAGGCCAAAGAGTTCAATCTTGGTTTCATCAGACCAGAGAATCTAGTTTCTCATGGTCTGAATCCTTTAGGTGCCTTTTGGCAAACTCCAAGTGGCCTGTCATGTGCCTTTTACTGAGGAGTGGCTTCTGTCTGGCCACTGTACCATAAAGGCCTGATTGGTGGAGTGCTGCAAAGATGGTTATCCTTCTGTAAGGTTCTCCCATCTCCACAGAGGAACTCTGGAGCTCTGTCAGAGTGACCATCGGGTTCTTGGTCACCTCCCTGACCAAGGCCCTTCTCCCCCGATTGCTCAGTTTGACTGGTGGTTCCAAACTTCTTCCATTTAAGAATGTTGGAGGCCACTGTTTTCTTGGGGACCTTCAATGCTGCAATATTTTGGTACCCTGCCTCGACACAATCCTGTCTTGGAGCTCTACAGACAATTCCTTCGACCTCAATGATGTCGCTCTTGCTGCTGGTGACTCTCAGATCCACCTCTACGCAGACGACACCATTTTGTATACATCTGGCCCTTCATTGGACACTGTGTTAACAAACCTCCAAACGAGCTTCAATGCCATACAAAACTCCTTCAGTAGCCTCCAACTGCTCTTAAACACTAGTAAAACTAAATGCATGCTTTTCAATCGAACGCTGCTGGCACCCGCCCACCCGACTAGAATCACCACTCTTGACGGGTCTGACCTAGAGTATGTGGACAACTACAAATACCTAGGTGTCTGGTTAGACTGTAAACTCTCCTTCCAGACTCACATAAAGAATCTCCAATCCAAAGTTAAATCTAGAATCGGCTTCCTATTTCGCAACAAAGCCTCCTTCACTCATGCTGCCAAACATGCCCTCGTAAAACTGACTATCCTACCGATCCTTGACTTCGGCGATGTCATTTACAAAATAGCCTCCAACACTCTACTCAGCAAATTGGATGTAGTCTATCACAGTGCCATCCGTTTTGTCTCCAAAGCCCCATACGCTACCCACCACTGTGACCTGTACGCTCTTGTTGGCTGGTCCTCACTACATGTTCGTCGTCAAACCCACTGGCTCCAGGCCATCTATAAATCACTGCTAGGCAAATCCCCGCCTTATCTTAGCTCATTGGTCACCATAGCAGCACCCACCCGTAGTCTGCGCTCCAGCAGGTATATCTCACTGGTCATTCCCAAAGCCAACACCTCCTTTGGCCGCCAATCCTTCCAGTTCTCTGCTGCCAATGACTGGAACGAATTGCAAAAATCTCTGAAGCTGGAGACTCTTATCTCCCTCACTAACTTTAAGCATCAGTTGTCAGAGCACCTTACCGATCACTGCACCTGTACACAGCCCATCTGAAATTAGCCCACCCAACTACCTCATCCCTATATTGTTATTTATTTTGCTCTTTTGCACCCCAGTATCTCTATTTGCACATAATCTCTTGCACATCTAGCATTCCAGTGTTAATACTATTGTAATTATTTTGCACTATAGCCTATTTATTGCCTTACCTCCATAACTTGCTACATTTGCACACACTGTATATATATTTTCTGTTGTATTTTTGACTTTATGTTTTTTACCCCATATGTAACTCTGTGTTGTTTTTATCGCACTGCTTTGCTTTATCTTGGCCAGGTCGCAGTTGTAAATGAGAACTTGTTCTCAACTGGCTTACCTGGTTAAATAAAGGTGAAATAAAATAAATAAATAAAAATGGCTTGGTTTTTACTCTGACGTGCACTGTCAACTGTGGGGCCTTATATAGACAGGTGTGTGCCTTTCCAAATCATGTCCAATCAATTTAATTTACCACAGGTGGACACCAATCAAGTTGTACAAACATCTCAAGGATGATCAATGGAAACAGGCTGCACCTGAGCTCAATTTCGAGTCTCATAGCAAAGGGTCTGAATACTTATGTAAATAAGGTATTTCTGTTTTTTATTGCAAAAATGTCTAAAAACCTCTTTTCACTTTGTCATTATGGGTATTGTGTGTAGATTGATGAGGAAAATGTTTTATTTAATCCATTTTAGAATAAGGCTGTAACGTAACAAAATGTGGGAAAAGTCAAGGGGTCTGAAAACTTTCCGAATGCACTGTAGAAAGATATACAGAGTTATCGAGCAACAGAGAATGCGTTTGTCATATCTCGGATGTTTGCAATTATGTCTGCAATACATTGCATCAGACTGTCTTTGTGTCTGTCTGTCTCTGTCGACCCGTCATTCAGGGCAGGTGGGGCTGAGCCCCATCTGTTTTGAGCCACACATTTTTAGCAAAACCATTATTATAATATATATATACTTTTTTTGGGGGGGGGCTTGCCTGTTTTGCATGTTATTTTGGCATTAATATGTGTCACATATCAGTTTGCAAAAATGTAAAAAAATAAAATAATAATAATAACATTTAGTTAATAAAGCCTCATACAAACATTTTCTCTTTTTGCTTTCTTCAGTAAGGCAGCTCCAAAATACAGGTGTTTCAGCCTAGCTCAGTGCTCTTTGTGTTTTGATGGTGGGGCAGCCAGCTGAAAATACGGAGTGTAAGTGTTGGTAATGTTCTCTAATTGCGCCGTGATTGGCTCAGTGTTCTGTCACTCATGGGGACACTACTTCACCGCCAAGTCTAAGGGAAGAGCTCGAAAATTCAAGCCCCTTGGGTGCTGCCATGGAGTTACATTAGAAGTGCCCATCCAAGAAGGCTCAAGGTCATTGGCCACAGATAAAGTGATGTCAAATCACGTTATATCTACAGTAGCTTTGATTGGACTGATCATGTCAACATCATACTTTCAAAATCTTAGCTAGCAGTCAGCATAATGAATCAAGTCGATAATCTACAGGCAAATCCTTTTTAATCCTTGTCATATGAAGAGAAATTATAGATAAAACATATCGATGCTCACCGGCCATTGGATATAAACTTTACACAACAAGTTGAAAATCTCAAATTCAACAACGAGTGGTTTGGAAGGAATCAGTGGCTTACTGCAAGCATTTCAAAGCAATCACTAGCCTGCTATTCAGTGGAGTGGCTGTGTGGTCCCAAATCTGGGATTAAGGGTATTTTTTCCAAATTTGAAATGATCAACATTCAACATTGGCCATGTTGCCAATGAAGCATGATTTGTGCCGCGCTAAAAACAACTGTTAACTCGGAACTGCGAAAAAACGAGCTCCGACTGGGAAAATACGTTTTGAACAGTCATCCAACTCTGAATTGTAAATCCGGAACTTGGGCCTCTTTCTAGAGCTACGACCTCCGAGTTCCCAGTTGTCTTGAAAGCACTATAAATCCAGAGAATGCCAGACTTTGATTAAAAGATTTTCCCAAAAAGGACCTCCGCGCCACCTTCCTGTTCAAGTGAGCACAGCACAACAAAGTGAGTCCAAAAATGTTGTTGTATGCATAAATGATGTAATATGCCAGGGAGATATGTATACTGTAGCTAAGAAAGTAATACTAGGTGTATGTTGTGTAGGAAGCTGTTAGTAGCCCATGTGCCTCACCCTAATAATTTGGTATATTTTCACCTCTTAATTTCGCCTACTGTTCTGACTTGGTGGTGCACATGTAGCCTATAACCTGTTTTAGAGAAATGTAATCGTCTAATATTGTAAAAGCTTTCATTGTCTGCTTATATGCCCCCTTTATTTATCCTACGGTTCTGACTTGGTGTACAGGGAGAACACTGTAAGAACGGCCCCTGTTCTGAATTCTGTCGCTGTACATTTCAAAAGTGCTAAACAAATAGTTACATTGACTACGTCCGTCGTAGCTCGCTCATTAATGTCTTAATCGAAATTACGGATTGCCTCATTTCCGCTTGTCGTACCCTTATGCCATAGTTTGTAACCACATTTGTTTAAGCAAGTCAGCCATATCAGCTATGTTTTTTTTTAAAGGCAGTAAATGAGGCTGAATTAACTGTCTTGCTGCCAGACAAGGCTCCGCTGATAGCCAGGTGTAGCAGTGATAAGATGTTGGGACTGCTGTTGGGACTCTGCTGTTGGGACAGCTTTATGTAGGCCTTAACAGTTTGTGGGCACCGTTTGTCACCATTATAGTGCAATTAATGTATTGTTTAGTGTTGTGTTGTGTAGTGGCTTTGCTGGCATGCATCCCACATTTCTGTTTTTGTTTGCCTCACCAAGATTGACATGCTAAAATCGCTACTGTTGTGTGTCCACTGCCCAGTATGTCAGTCATTCAGAATCAGTGGAAAGGATTAGGCCTGGACGTACCTCTCATACCTGCACTCTTCCACGCTTCCATTAATGTGCTACAATAAAACCTGTCCAACAATCCAGCCTTGAGTTTTATCACCCCATGTCTGCTCCTCTCCCAGTCCCGGTCTCTCATACAAAGAGTTCATTGACACCGTTGTTGTTTTTCTTTCCTTTAACCGTATGAGCAATCAGATGAGACTGATAATGCCCTAACTTTGTAGTGTACCGGCTGGCTGAGCAGAGGTTCAGGTTCATGGAGTTTTATATTAGTTATGAGGTTTTATGACCCATGATTTAGTGGCACGATGGTGAGCTGTTTTTACTGTGGTGTGGCCTTTTTTGTTGTTTGTGGAGATGGAGAGAGTTAGGGGAGTGAATTATTGTCTCAGGTGAGGGGTTGGATCTGTTATGAAGGCTTATTAAGGGTTATTTTAATCTGATTAGGGATGTGTTGGATGGGGTCCTGGTGTTGAGCTGACTCATTTCTGCCCAATCAGCAAGGTCTCACCAACCCAAAAAACTGCTGGGACTTACTGCCATGAGGCACGCAGCAAGTGAGCAGGGGGTTGGATAGTTTGGAGCTGCATGTTGCGTCATGGTCAAGGTTAGAGTTTTGAGATGGTTAACTGACCCCAGATCTTTGTTTACGATTGTCTTTACCATGTGCACCTCTCCCTTTTTTATTTTTAAAAAAACAACCATTGGTCCCTGAACTTACCCTTTGAACTCTTGCCTGCACCCCTCTGTAGAGAAAGTGGTATTTTCCACAGTTCCCAGAGGTGAACCCTCTGAGACACCAAACTCCAGGATATTATGGGGAGTTAGAGCAGGGTTGGAATTATGTTGGCATAAATCACACAGAGGAGGAAGGGGTTTTGTAGGGGTAACATTGTTGGAGGAGGGGCTCTATTCATTATTTTATTGCTAGTCTGTTTTATATCAGGCTAAAGATAGCTGGGCCTGAGCAGGGTTTGTATCTTCTGTTATTCTGTGATCTTTTTGTTTGGGGCCTGTTGTATTGTAACAGCTGCACTCTCTCTCGACTGCCGGACTCTATACTGTGTGTGTGTGTGTGTGTGTGTGTGTGTGTGTGTGTGTGTACGTAATTGTTTGAAACATTAATGTTTTACTGTATTTAATATTATGAGGCATGTCTTACCTTGCTTCAAAGTAGCCTATAGGCAAAATCCGACCATGAAGGTGGAGGCAATTCTTTCAGAAAGATTGGGGAAGCTTACAATTTATCCTACCATTTCTACTGTTCTGTGTGCCAGTTATGATTTTCCTATGCACATTTTAGTGGAACAGTTTCATTTCAATAATAACGTTTTTGTGTCTCAAAATCATTGTCACATGGTTAATCATAAAAATTGGAATTAAAATGATAAAATCTAAAAAATAAAATAAAAAAAAGTTAACTAATGCGAGATCACCAGCCTCTGCCATATGGACACATTGATACACCCACCGCGATCCATTGGCGGCTAAAGAAATAAGCACATGGAACTCATAGACTATCGGCCAATGCAGCAGTAGGCTTATGTTTTCCATTGCTCTTTCACACCGAGGTTTGATGTTTATCGAGAGGGAGATTGTTGGAAAGATTTTTCAAATAGCTTACTTTGAGGAGTTTTAATATACAGTATTATCATTCGCAATGGATGTACAAAAAAAAGACACTTTCCTATTATTCTGCACAGCAGGCCAGTTACTTCTATGCGTGCTCAGGCGCAAGCGCTTCCCCAACATTATCAGGACAGAGAAACCAGACACATACTCATTGCTCACATTGATCACTCCAAACAAAAGACAATGAAAAAACAAAAAGAATGTTGTAAATGATGGTTATGAAATAAACCAAAACCTGTTTTCACAAGTGTAGCAGGTTGTGAACTCTGCAAACAATGTTTCTACTCCGAGAATGAGAACGGTAAGTGACTGTAATTAATACATGCATTAACAGAAATTAATGTAACCAAATGACGGGGATTAACGGTACATTTACTACTGCAGATGTATGTAATGGGGAATTGATTAAAAAATACAATAATCAAAGGACAAACTATTCACGAGAATTGGTGGGAGACAGCTGAGCCATTCTGGAGAGAGACACCCCTTCTTCTTGTCTCAAAATGATAAGTTGTACTCAAGACACATTATCTTCAAACATATTTTAGTTGCTTTTTACTGACAGCCGCAACTCAATAATCAGCTAGGCTTATTGCCATTTGCGCTGCCCAAATTGCGGGCTTCCCAAATTTATTTTTATTTATTTTTATTTATTTAACCTTTATTTAACCAGGTAAGCCAGTTGAGAACAAGTTCTCATTTACAACTGCGACCTGGCCAAGATAAAGCAAAGCAGTGTGATAAAAACAACACAGAGTTACATATGGGGTAAAAAAACATAAAGTCAAAAATACAACAGAAAATATATATACAGTGGTGCAAATGTAGCAAGTTATGGAGGTAAAGCAATAAATAGGCTATAGTGCAAAATAATTACAATAGTATTAACACTGGAATGCTAGATGTGCAAGAGATTATGTGCAAATAGAGATACTGGGGTGCAAAAGAGCAAAATAAATAACAATATAGGGATGAGGTAGTTGGGTGGGCTAATTTCAGATGGGCTGTGTACAGGTGCAGTGATCGGTAAGGTGCTCTGACAACTGATGCTTAAAGTTAGTGAGGGAGATAAGAGTCTCCAGCTTCAGAGATTTTTGCAATTCGTTCCAGTCATTGGCAGCAGAGAACTGGAAGGAATGGCGGCCAAAGGAGGTGTTGGCTTTGGGAATGACCAGTGAGATATACCTGCTGGAGCGCAGACTACGGGTGGGTGCTGCTATGGTGACCAATGAGCTAAGATAAGGCGGGGATTTGCCTAGCAGTGATTTATAGATGGCCTGGAGCCAGTGGGACCTACTTTCTTTCATTGTCCAGAAGCCAAAGGCACAATCCTAGTCATATTAGCAACCCATCCTAGTTGTTGCATCTTTAGATTTCCCCTCTTTCTAAGTTTCTAACAGATTTTCATCTCTTACAGATATGGAACCTCTATCAGGTGCAATGTTTAGAATGGTGTTTTCCCAGGTGCACTGTTTAGAATGGTGTTTTCCCGCAAATTACATACGTTTTATTGGCTGCTTCATTACATGAGTTGGATGTTCTCTTAAGAAGCATTACCATAATCTAAATGTGATTTCTGTCATTCTGACGCCGTGGGTGGACGGCGTAATGGGTTATGCACCCAATGCATATGGGTCCGGTAAATTTTTTTAAAAAGCCGGTAAATTACATTCTTCCCGGTCACGTTGTCCGGCGCCACATTTTCCTAATGGGAACCTGTGTGTGTGTGTGTGTGTGTGTGTGCAGGAGATGCAGAAAGAGCAAGCCTGTATGTGTGCGTCTGTGAGAGCTAGAGACAGCATAAGAGTGTGTGTGTGTGTTGGAGACATATTCTACACGTTTTCCAGAGTCAAACCATACAAAGTACAACACAATTTTTTTATATTTTCCTTTGTTTCAGAGTCCTCCCTCCTCTCTACCATCTCTGCAGCCTTTACTTTTTTGTGCTCTTTGCTTCCTAGAGTTCCGCTCCATTTCATGGAAGCCAGGGAACGTGGTTTCCTCCTGGTGTCCGTGTGCGTTTATCCCGGGCCAGGGCCCATTGGTCTCAACCGCGCCTCACCACTCAGGAAAGCCGGCGCTTGGCGAGGCAGCTGCACTCAGATAGCATGCCAGAATACAGACACATCAGAGAGGAGAGAGAGAAAGGGAGAGGGGAGTGGGAGTAGAGGGAGGAATTAAGAGTAGAGGATTCAGTGTTTCCCCTTTGATTCTTTTTAGCAGCAGTGGCAAAGGTAAAAGGGGGGGGGGGGGGGGGGGGAGATCTTTGCTGGGGGGTCCGGCAGCATGCCCCCCACTTTATAGAACGACTGTGTGAAGGTCACTTCTGGTGACTTTCTTTAAAATACATTCTACTCCAAAATGCATGAAAATTGAATTATGTTGACAGCATCTGAAATATAGCTGATGCGCACCACTGCATTGTAGGGAGATGATGAGGAGCAAGGGGTGGCTGTACGCTCGTGGCTCTCAATTGCGTCACTGCTTGCTCTGTTTGCTACAAATATAAGATGTAACTTGTCACTGACTTTAAAGGGATAGTGTGAGATTTTGGCAATTAAGGCCTTTTTCTACTACCTAGAGTCAGATCAACTCATGGATGCCATTTTTATGGCTTTGCATGCAGTTTGGATTAAGTTAAAGGTAGTTTTGCGAGACAGGAAGTTGATGGTAACAGCATGCTATGCTGTTCTTATAGACTTCTAGTCATTGTGCTAACGCTAGTTAGCAACTTCCTTCAAACTGCATGTAGAGACATAAAAATGGTATCCATGAGTTGATATGACTATGGGTATGTAGAAAAAGGGCTTTGTTACCAAAATCTCACACTATCCATTTAAAAGCTTGTCTCAGCAGAAATATATAAAAAATATAATTTACAAAATGTGGGGAGTGGTGGCAATGATTTAGCAGAGGTGGGCCACCGCTAGGACTCTTACGGTGACCGTATTACTTCCACACCGGCGGTCATGATTCATGACCGCAGTCATATTCCACGTGACCGTTTAGTCACAGTAACCAGGCTTCTCCAAGCTCTGATGCCGCTGATGGTCATTAGTAGCCTACCAAACTTGCTAACTGCCTGGTACTCAGCACTCTATTGTCCCTCTAATCACTCTGACATCAATGCAAATGTTTTAGAAAATCAAATCAAACACTTCATGAGAGCCCATGAGCTCATGTTGCACAACATTTCTATAGGCTATGCAATTGCGTGAGAAAACAGAGTTTTGACGGCCTCCATTAGAAAGAGGAGGATCCCATCAGTTTTCTATAGGCTAGGCCTACTATATTTATTTATCAACTTTCCTAATATTAAGCACATTGCTATGCTTTACAACAGGAATATAGCCTACCTGGCTGGCATGAAAATGAACCGCAGGGAAAAGCGTCCTCCATGCGCTATTTAAGTGCATAGATGACATGTTTCTTTCTTTTCATGCCCGTTTCCGAGACAGGTGCATGATAATGGTCGCCGACGTGTCTGTCTTCACTTGTAGCCTACTTCTTAGCTGAGATACCTTTTGAGAAGGAACCAATCATGTGACGGGCATTTGCTAATAAGAATTGGGCTATCTGAGAGAGCCATGTGAGTGAGAGGTGCTTCGGAGCACGGCAGCCGGGAGAAGGGAATTATAATTATATTCAGCCCAAGGGCACAACGGCCACTGTGGCCACTGTGGTCCTCTGTAGCTCAGCTGGTAGAGCACGGCGCTTGTAACGCCAAGGTAGTGGGTTCGATCCCCGGGACCACCCATACACAAAAAATATATATAATGTATGCACGCATAACTGTAAGTCGCTTTGGATAAAAGCGTCTGCTAAATGGCATATTATTATTATTATTATTAAAAGGCATGGATTTTTTAGGGGCCATTACGGCCACACAAGGGGGATGCCGCCGGGAATATTATGCCTGGTGAGAATATTATCAAGTGCTTGTCAAATTGTGAATGAGAGAATGATGAAGTGTGTGCAGCCTGCGCAAGAAACAGAGCAGAGCGCTTACCTTTGATACAACTTTTTTCAAATCATCATTAGAGTCGCATCATGCAGCCTAAGAATGTATCAAAAATCGAAATATATAGCCCAACATTTGTATCACAACTAAAGTTGCATAAATAACTCTAAATTAAGCATAAAGGAGGACCTGTTTCTTTGTTAACCGCTCAACACAGAATAGCCGCATGTGCGCACTTCCTTGGAAATCATTTGGAGAAAATATTATTTCTTTTTTATAAAGCTATGTTCAATAATAATGCCACGGAATTCTAAGCAAATCTTGTCTGCTAAATGAACTAGTGTTGACCACAGTCATATGGCATAGCCATATCAGGGCCTAACATAAGGACAGCTTAGATTATGCTATTCTGTTCTTCTGAAATAGATTACATTTTCTTCATATCATGTTTTTTTAGACCTGTCTAAAATAAATAATTGATTTATTGTGATGGTGTAGGCTATATTAAATTGATTTATTAGACTACACTGAACAGACATGTAAACACAACATGTAAAGTGTTGGTCCCATGTTTCATGAGCTGAAATAAAAGATCCCAGAAATGTTCTATACGCACAAAAAGTTTATTCCTCTCAAATTTGGTGCACAAATTTGTTTACATCCCTGTTAGTGAGCATTTCTCCTTTGCCAAGATAATCCATCCACCTGACAGGTGTGACATATCAAGAAGCTGATTAAACAGCATGAGCATTACACAGGTGCACCTTGTGCTGGGGACAATAAAAGGCCACTCTAAAATGTGCAGTTTTGTCACACAATATAATGTTATAGATGTATCAAGTTTTGAGGGATTGTGCAATTGGCATGCTGACTGCAGGAATGTCCACCAGAGCTGTTGCCAGAGAATGTAATGTACATTTTAGAGAATTTGGCTGTCACGCTCGTCTACGAGAGAGGACCAATGCGCAGCATTGAAGGTGAACATAATATATATTTATTAACTGATCACACGATCAAAACAATAACCAACGATGCGTGACGTCTAAGGTTACAACACGAACAAACCTTAACGGAACAAGAAACCACAACACAAAGTGAAAAGACCGATAGTTAAATATGGCTCCCAATCAGAGACAACCAGCTGACACTCGTTGCCTCTGATTGGGAGTCACTCAGGCCCACATAGATATACAAACATAGACTTACATACCCTGGCTCAACATAACATAGTCCCCAGAGCCAGGGCGTGACAGTACCCCCCCCCAAAGGCGCGGACTCCGACCGCGCCAAACAACCACAACAGGGGAGGGACCGGGTGGGCACTCCGCCTCGGCGGCGGATCCGGCTCCGGACATGACCCAGGCACGGGTTGTGCTGGACTGACGACGCGCACCCCTGGCTTGGTGCGTGGAGGAGGAACGGGCCTTACCAGGCTGACGACGCACACCGTAGGCTTGGTGCGTGGAGCAGGGACAGGCCGGACTGGGCTGGCGACGCGCACCACAGACTTGGTGCGGAGAGCAGGAACGGGCCGGGCTGGGCTGTCGACGCACACCGTAGGCTTGGTGCGTGGAGTAGGAACGGGCCGAACCGGGCTGACGATGCGCACCCCTGACTTGGTGCGGGGAGCAGGAATAGACCGGACCGTACTGGGGACACACACCACTGGCCCTACACCGGGATCTGGAACGGGCCGGACCGGACTGGCAACACACGCCAGTACCTCTCGCCGTGCCTCTACATCCTCCATCCCCTCTTCGACCAGTGGCCCCCGTAACCTGGCGGCCTCCTCTGGCAACCCACTGGGCCGCTCTAATCGCGGCCTCCTGCTGGTCCGACGTCGTGAGCCCCCCCCTAAAAAATTTCTGGGAGTCTCTCTTCCCCGTGGGCCAGGCCTCGATAATTCTCGCCCACCTCTCGCTCCTCTGCTTCCAATCTCCGTCATTCAGCTCCTCATTCGGCTTGACCCAGTCGAAGCTCTGCCTCCACTGTTGCCAAGTCCACCTACTCTGCTCCTCACTAGGCTGCTTGGTCCAGTTCTGGTGGTTTCTTCTGTCACGCTCGTCTACGAGAGAGGACCAATGCGCAGCATTGAAGGTGAACATAATATATATTTATTAACTGATCACACGATCAAAACAATAACCAACGATGCGTGACGTCTAAGGTTACAACACGAACAAACCTTAACGGAACAAGAAACCACAACACAAAGTGAAAAGACCGATAGTTAAATATGGCTCCCAATCAGAGACAACCAGCTGACACTCGTTGCCTCTGATTGGGAGTCACTCAGGCCCACATAGATATACAAACATAGACTTACATACCCTGGCTCAACATAACATAGTCCCCAGAGCCAGGGCGTGACAGTACCCCCCCCCCAAAGGCGCGGACTCCGACCGCGCCAAACAACCACAACAGGGGAGGGACCGGGTGGGCACTCCGCCTCGGCGGCGGATCCGGCTCCGGACATGACCCAGGCACGGGTTGTGCTGGACTGACGACGCGCACCCCTGGCTTGGTGCGTGGAGGAGGAACGGGCCTTACCAGGCTGACGACGCACACCGTAGGCTTGGTGCGTGGAGCAGGGACAGGCCGGACTGGGCTGGCGACGCGCACCACAGACTTGGTGCGGAGAGCAGGAACGGGCCGGGCTGGGCTGTCGACGCACACCGTAGGCTTGGTGCGTGGAGTAGGAACGGGCCGAACCGGGCTGACGATGCGCACCCCTGACTTGGTGCGGGGAGCAGGAATAGACCGGACCGTACTGGGGACACACACCACTGGCCCTACACCGGGATCTGGAACGGGCCGGACCGGACTGGCAACACACGCCAGTACCTCTCGCCGTGCCTCTACATCCTCCATCCCCTCTTCGACCAGTGGCCCCCGTAACCTGGCGGCCTCCTCTGGCAACCCACTGGGCCGCTCTATCGCGGCCTCCTGCTGGTCCGACGTCGTGAGCCCCCCCCTAAAAAATTTCTGGGAGTCTCTCTTCCCCGTGGGCCAGGCCTCGATAATTCTCGCCCACCTCTCGCTCCTCTGCTTCCAATCTCCGTCATTCAGCTCCTCATTCGGCTTGACCCAGTCGAAGCTCTGCCTCCACTGTTGCCAAGTCCACCTACTCTGCTCCTCACTAGGCTGCTTGGTCCAGTTCTGGTGGTTTCTTCTGTCACGCTCGTCTACGAGAGAGGACCAATGCGCAGCATTGAAGGTGAACATAATATATATTTATTAACTGATCACACGATCAAAACAATAACCAACGATGCGTGACGTCTAAGGTTACAACACGAACAAACCTTAACGGAACAAGAAACCACAACACAAAGTGAAAAGACCGATAGTTAAATATGGCTCCCAATCAGAGACAACCAGCTGACACTCGTTGCCTCTGATTGGGAGTCACTCAGGCCCACATAGATATACAAACATAGACTTACATACCCTGGCTCAACATAACATAGTCCCCAGAGCCAGGGCGTGACAGTACCCCCCCCCAAAGGCGCGGACTCCGACCGCGCCAAACAACCACAACAGGGGAGGGACCGGGTGGGCACTCCGCCTCGGCGGCGGATCCGGCTCCGGACATGACCCAGGCACGGGTTGTGCTGGACTGACGACGCGCACCCCTGGCTTGGTGCGTGGAGGAGGAACGGGCCTTACCAGGCTGACGACGCACACCGTAGGCTTGGTGCGTGGAGCAGGGACAGGCCGGACTGGGCTGGCGACGCGCACCACAGACTTGGTGCGGAGAGCAGGAACGGGCCGGGCCGGGCTGGGCTGTCGACGCACACCGTAGGCTTGGTGCGTGGAGTAGGAACGGGCCGAACCGGGCTGACGATGCGCACCCCTGACTTGGTGCGGGGAGCAGGAATAGACCGGACCGTACTGGGGACACACACCACTGGCCCTACACCGGGATCTGGAACGGGCCGGACCGGACTGGCAACACACGCCAGTACCTCTCGCCGTGCCTCTACATCCTCCATCCCCTCTTCGACCAGTGGCCCCCGTAACCTGGCGGCCTCCTCTGGCAACCCACTGGGCCGCTCTATCGCGGCCTCCTGCTGGTCCGACGTCGTGAGCCCCCCCCTAAAAAATTTCTGGGAGTCTCTCTTCCCCGTGGGCCAGGCCTCGATAATTCTCGCCCACCTCTCGCTCCTCTGCTTCCAATCTCCGTCATTCAGCTCCTCATTCGGCTTGACCCAGTCGAAGCTCTGCCTCCACTGTTGCCAAGTCCACCTACTCTGCTCCTCACTAGGCTGCTTGGTCCAGTTCTGGTGGTTTCTTCTGTCACGCTCGTCTACGAGAGAGGACCAATGCGCAGCATTGAAGGTGAACATAATATATATTTATTAACTGATCACACGATCAAAACAATAACCAACGATGCGTGACGTCTAAGGTTACAACACGAACAAACCTTAACGGAACAAGAAACCACAACACAAAGTGAAAAGACCGATAGTTAAATATGGCTCCCAATCAGAGACAACCAGCTGACACTCGTTGCCTCTGATTGGGAGTCACTCAGGCCCACATAGATATACAAACATAGACTTACATACCCTGGCTCAACATAACATAGTCCCCAGAGCCAGGGCGTGACAGTACCCCCCCCCAAAGGCGCGGACTCCGACCGCGCCAAACAACCACAACAGGGGAGGGACCGGGTGGGCACTCCGCCTCGGCGGCGGATCCGGCTCCGGACATGACCCAGGCACGGGTTGTGCTGGACTGACGACGCGCACCCCTGGCTTGGTGCGTGGAGGAGGAACGGGCCTTACCAGGCTGACGACGCACACCGTAGGCTTGGTGCGTGGAGCAGGGACAGGCCGGACTGGGCTGGCGACGCGCACCACAGACTTGGTGCGGAGAGCAGGAACGGGCCGGGCTGGGCTGTCGACGCACACCGTAGGCTTGGTGCGTGGAGTAGGAACGGGCCGAACCGGGCTGACGATGCGCACCCCTGACTTGGTGCGGGGAGCAGGAATAGACCGGACCGTACTGGGGACACACACCACTGGCCCTACACCGGGATCTGGAACGGGCCGGACCGGACTGGCAACACACGCCAGTACCTCTCGCCGTGCCTCTACATCCTCCATCCCCTCTTCGACCAGTGGCCCCCGTAACCTGGCGGCCTCCTCTGGCAACCCACTGGGCCGCTCTATCGCGGCCTCCTGCTGGTCCGACGTCGTGAGCCCCCCCCTAAAAAATTTCTGGGAGTCTCTCTTCCCCGTGGGCCAGGCCTCGATAATTCTCGCCCACCTCTCGCTCCTCTGCTTCCAATCTCCGTCATTCAGCTCCTCATTCGGCTTGACCCAGTCGAAGCTCTGCCTCCACTGTTGCCAAGTCCACCTACTCTGCTCCTCACTAGGCTGCTTGGTCCAGTTCTGGTGGTTTCTTCTGTCACGCTCGTCTACGAGAGAGGACCAATGCGCAGCATTGAAGGTGAACATAATATATATTTATTAACTGATCACACGATCAAAACAATAACCAACGATGCGTGACGTCTAAGGTTACAACACGAACAAACCTTAACGGAACAAGAAACCACAACACAAAGTGAAAAGACCGATAGTTAAATATGGCTCCCAATCAGAGACAACCAGCTGACACTCGTTGCCTCTGATTGGGAGTCACTCAGGCCCACATAGATATACAAACATAGACTTACATACCCTGGCTCAACATAACATAGTCCCCAGAGCCAGGGCGTGACAGTACCCCCCCCCAAAGGCGCGGACTCCGACCGCGCCAAACAACCACAACAGGGGAGGGACCGGGTGGGCACTCCGCCTCGGCGGCGGATCCGGCTCCGGACATGACCCAGGCACGGGTTGTGCTGGACTGACGACGCGCACCCCTGGCTTGGTGCGTGGAGGAGGAACGGGCCTTACCAGGCTGACGACGCACACCGTAGGCTTGGTGCGTGGAGCAGGGACAGGCCGGACTGGGCTGGCGACGCGCACCACAGACTTGGTGCGGAGAGCAGGAACGGGCCGGGCCGGGCTGGGCTGTCGACGCACACCGTAGGCTTGGTGCGTGGAGTAGGAACGGGCCGAACCGGGCTGACGATGCGCACCCCTGACTTGGTGCGGGGAGCAGGAATAGACCGGACCGTACTGGGGACACACACCACTGGCCCTACACCGGGATCTGGAACGGGCCGGACCGGACTGGCAACACACGCCAGTACCTCTCGCCGTGCCTCTACATCCTCCATCCCCTCTTCGACCAGTGGCCCCCGTAACCTGGCGGCCTCCTCTGGCAACCCACTGGGCCGCTCTATCGCGGCCTCCTGCTGGTCCGACGTCGTGAGCCCCCCCCTAAAAAATTTCTGGGAGTCTCTCTTCCCCGTGGGCCAGGCCTCGATAATTCTCGCCCACCTCTCGCTCCTCTGCTTCCAATCTCCGTCATTCAGCTCCTCATTCGGCTTGACCCAGTCGAAGCTCTGCCTCCACTGTTGCCAAGTCCACCTACTCTGCTCCTCACTAGGCTGCTTGGTCCAGTTCTGGTGGTTTCTTCTGTCACGCTCGTCTACGAGAGAGGACCAATGCGCAGCATTGAAGGTGAACATAATATATATTTATTAACTGATCACACGATCAAAACAATAACCAACGATGCGTGACGTCTAAGGTTACAACACGAACAAACCTTAACGGAACAAGAAACCACAACACAAAGTGAAAAGACCGATAGTTAAATATGGCTCCCAATCAGAGACAACCAGCTGACACTCGTTGCCTCTGATTGGGAGTCACTCAGGCCCACATAGATATACAAACATAGACTTACATACCCTGGCTCAACATAACATAGTCCCCAGAGCCAGGGCGTGACATTGGCAGTACGTCCAACCGGCCTCACAAACGCAGACCACGCCAGTCCAGGACCTCCACATCCGGCTTCTTCACCTGCGGGATCGTCTGAGACCAGCCACCTGGACAGCTGATGAAACTGTGGGTTTACACAACCGAAGAATTTCTGCACAAACTGTCAGAAAACGTCTCAGGGAAGCTCATCTGCGTGCTCGTTGTTCTCAACAGGGTATTGACCTGACTGCAGTTCGGCTCAGTGGGCAAATGCCCACCTTCGATGGCCACTGGAACGCTGGAGAAATGTGCTCTTCACGGATGAATCCCGGTTTCAACTGTACCGGGCAGATGGCAGACGACATGTATGGCGTCATGTGGGCGAGCGATTTGCTGATGTCAACGTTATGAACAGAGTGCCCCATGGTGGCGGTGGGGTTATGGTATTGACAGGCATAAGCTATGGACAACGGACACAATTGCATTTTATCGATGGCAATTTGAATACACAGTGATACCGTGACGAGATCCTGAGGCCCATTGTCGTGCCATTCATCCACCGCCATCACCTCATGTTTCTGCATGATAATGCACGGCCCCATGTCGCAAGGATCTGTACACAATTCCTGGAAGCTGACAATGTCCCAGTTCTTCCATGACCAGCATACTCACCAGACATGTCACCCATTGAGCATGTTTGGGATGCTCTGGATCGACGTGTACGACAGCGTGTTGTAGTTCCTGCTAATATCCAGCAACTTCGCACATCCATTGAAGAGGAGTGGGACAACATTCCACAGGCCACAATCAACAGCCTGATCAACTCTATGCGAAGGAGATGTGTCGTGCTGCATGATGTAAATGGTGGCCATATCAGATACTGACTGGTTTTCTGATCCACGCCCCTACCAGTGTAATAGTTCCTTCAGTTCTCACTGGTAGGGATCGTTGTTAGGCTACATAGAGGACCACTGATCCACACCAACATATGACTCAAGGTTCATCATCTTTAGGTATACAATATACAGTGGGGAGAACAAGTATTTGATACACTGCCGATTTTGCTGGTTTTCCTACTTACAAAGCATGTGGAGGTCTGTAATTTTTATCATAGGTACACTTCAACTGTGAGAGACGGAATCTAAAACAAAAATCCAGAAAATCACATTGTATGATTTTTAAGTAATTAATTTGCATTTTATTGCATGACATAAGTATTTGATACATCAGAAAAGCAGAACTTAATATTTGGTACAGAAACCATTGTTTACAATTACAGAGATCATACGTTTCCTGTCGGTCTTGACCAGGTTTGCACACACTGCAGCAGGGATTTTGGCCCACTCCTCCATACAGACCTTCTCCAGATCCTTCAGGTTTCGGGGCTGTCGCTAGGCAATACGGACTTTCAGCTCCCTCCAAAGATTTTCTATTAGGTTCAGGTCTGGAGACTGGCTAGGCCACTCCAGGACCTTGAGATGCTTCTTACGGAGCCACTCCTTAGTTGCCCTGGCTGTGTGTTTCGGGTCGTTGTCATGCTGGAAGACCCAGCCACGATCCATCTTCAATGCTCTTACTGAGGGAAGGAGGTTGTTGGCCAAGATCTTGCGATACATGGCCCCATCCATCCTCCCCTCAATACGGTGCAGTCATCCTGTCCCCTTTGCAGAAAAGCATCCCCAAAGAATGATGTTTCCACCTCCATGCTTCACGGTTGGGATGGTGTTCTTGGGGTTGTACTCATCCTTCTTCTTCCTCCAAACACGGTGAGTGGAGTTTAGACCAAAAAGCTATATTTTTGTCTCATCAGACCACATGACCTTCTCCCATTCCTCCTCTGGATCATCCAGATGGTCATTGGCAAACTTCAGACGGGCCTGGACATGCGCTGGCTTGAGCAGGGGGACCTTGCGTGCGCTGCAGGATTTTAATCCATGACGGCATAGTGTGTTACTAATGGTTTTCTTTGAGACTGTGGTCCCAGCTCTCTTCAGGTCATTGACCAGGTCCTGCCGTGTAGTTCTGGGCTGATCCCTCACCTTCCTCATGATCATTGATGCCCCACGAGGTGAGATCTTGCATGGAGCCCCAGACCGAGGGTGATTGACCGTCATCTTGAACTTCTTCCATTTTCTAATAATTGCGCCAACAGTTGTTGCCTTCTCACCAAGCTGCTTGCCTATTGTCCTGTAGCCCATCCCAGCCTTGTGCAGGTCTACAATTTTATCCCTGATGTCCTTACACAGCTCTCTGGTCTTGGCCATTGTGGAGAGGTTGGAGTCTGTTTGATTGAGTGTGTGGACAGGTGTCTTTTATACAGGTAACAAGTTCAAACAGGTGCAGTTAATACAGGTAATGAGTGGAGAACAGGAGGGCTTCTTAAAGAAAAACTAACAGGTCTGTGAGAGCCAGAATTCTTACTGGTTGGTAGGTGATCAAATACTTATGTCATGCAATAAAATGCAAATTAATTATTTAAAAATCATACAATGTGATTTTCTGGATTTTTGTTTTAGCTTCCGTCTCTCACAGTTGAAGTGTACCTATGATAACAATTACAGACCTCTACATGCTTTGTAAGTAGGAAAACCTGCAAAATCGGCAGTGTATCAAATACTTGTTCTCCCCACTGTAGCTAAGCAGCTGCACAAACACAGAAAAGCAAGCAATTGAGTTACAATTTTTTACAATTTGAAAGTTTGACATTTTAATGAAGCATAAAGTCCAATTGTCCTGTACTTCAAAGTAGACCTGGATGGGGACATAAGGGTTATGCCAAGTCATAGCCGTTATGCTAACTGCTTTGTGATGGAATGGAATGGCTTGAACCAAGAGCCTTGTTTGAAGAGTGGGGGAGCGACAGAGTGAGTGATAAAGAGGGAGAGTCAGAGGAAAAGGGGGAGAATACCTACTTAGTCTGCAGTTTTCACTCTTTGCACATGAACAAGAGTAAAAAAAAGTTGAACTTCAACGTTTGTCTGAGGTGGAGCAGAAGAGGGCGACACTGCAAGGTGGGGGAAGGAAAAAGGTTAGCGAGGAGCTTGAGCAAACGCTGTGTGCTCTGCATTACGGAAATAGACGCCTTGCTCAAATAGAAGCCTGTCTGTAATAAGCGCCGGTTGTGTTCAGTGATTGAAGCAAATAAGCACTATTAATATAAGTTTTACGGTATACACTGTGTTGATTCATCTCCCTTCCATTAAGTTTAAACAGACGTTACCAACTACTAGAGAGCCTCAACTCTAAACAACATGCAATGACAGAGAGAAACAAAGTCACATAAGGAATATGCATGCTGCATACAGTACACTGTTGATTTGGGATAAGAGATATGGGTTGTTTTTGTGAAACCGCTCTGGGTCAAGCTGCGGCATATGGTTTCGTGTTCACAGTGAGAATAGAAGTCTACTTGTTACTCACCCACGCACACACACCAACACACATGCACTTACATACACACTTGCACTGAAAACAGCTCTTAAAAACGTTCTGGGACAATTTGTTTGTAAAGTGAAAAGTTAGTCAAACTATTATATAGACCAGATATGCTTGTGCACACAACTTCATGCTCTAGCAAAACCTTTAATTCTCTTTTTTTCCCCAGAGGAAGGAGAGAGGGAGAGTGAGAAAAAAGATTGGCCCCTGTAAGTGTTGTTCTAGCCTGTAATTGGTGGAAGCCTGTTGCTAGGCTTATGTCATTGTGAGGGTGGGAGTTTTTCGCTTCCTCTCTCTGCGAAGCGATAGGTCAGGTTTGAACTGGTTAGGAGGACTTCTACCACTTGTTGAACATCCCCACTGTTTTGTGGTTTTCTTTCGCTCTCCGCTCTCTTCTCTTCTAATTGCATTTGAAAAACACTGCAGCCACTTCTGGGGCACATACTATATGTGCACAGATTTAGCTTTGGCTTCCTCTCTCTCTTTCTTTTTCTCTCTTTTAATCCCTTTGACTTTCATCCTCCTTTTTATTGTTAAAAGCAGCTCAAATGTTTGCGCAATAAAACAATACGTTCATTTCCTTCTTTGTTAACTTTTTTCACCAAAAAAATCCAAAATGCCCAAGTGTTTAAATGCTACTTTAAGTATTCTGTTAAAATGAAAAAATACATATTTCTAGAGTAGGTACAGTAACACTTTCCCAGTGAAGAGAATGGCACTCAAACTCCTCTTGTTGTTGTCCTTTTATGTTAGTTGAATTTCAAGTTGAGAGGGATCAACATTTCAGAATTCAAAACTGGAGCTTGAACTTGTGACTGGACTGATGTTTGCTCTCGTTCTTTATTTATTCAGGGCCCACTCGAATCTCAATTACTATTATCCTGTCCAAAAAAATACTCATCACAAACCGGTTGTATTGATGTGATAGAGATCTGTTAGTTAACTATTTACTAACATACTTCTCTCAAACCCCAGCCCCCCCACCCAAATATCTAATTTGTATAGATAATCTGTTCATATGCGGTCCATATCTACCATTGTTTCGGTCTTATCTGTAGAATGTATTCCCAGTCTTTTGTAACAATAGGATATTATTGTGTGCGGGTGGTTTGTGCATCATCAGTTAGACAGCTCATTCAGACTCAATAAAGAGAGGACCACTGAGGACCAGGGGTCTCTGGAGACCCAAGTAATTTAACAAGGCCCCTATTCCTAATACCGCAGGACTAATGGGATGGCTCATATACCATGTCAATTCGGTTAGTTCAGGAGTCCAAAAGTCCTCAGAAAATGATGGCTAAATGAATGGGGTCAGTTCCAAACGGAGTTTGATCTGACGGAATTAAAGAAGAGTTCACTCCAGCTCTACCGTCCAATCCCTCTATCTCTTCATCTGAGGCTCACCATCTGCACTGATTTGCACTGTGAGAACTGTCTTGAGAAGGATCCCTGCAGGATCTCCACTAGCCTCCCACTGCAGTGTAACTAATCATCATGATGTTATCATAACCCACTCTTACCCCCGCCCCGCCCGCACTCTGCCTCTGGCTGGCATGGGTACAGTAAAGCCCCAAGAGTGGCTGCTGGGTGGTCGTGATGTGTACACCCCTGACAATAGTGTTTGGGCCAGTCGGGGCCCTGGCCTAGCCTAGCGCTTTTATGTGAAAAGATGGTGTCGTAAGCCGAACGCTGACCAGGCCTCTTCTGCTCTGCAACTTTGCTGAGCCATGGGGCTCACATACTCACTGTGCTGCTACTGCTGCTGGGAAACTGCAGAGTGCTGACTCCAGCCCCAGGGCATATTTACCATGACCCCCACCCCTCTCTGGGGGTAACAGGGAGGGGGGAGAGAGGGAGGGGGGCACTGTCACACAATGAACCTGCTGAATGGTGTGCTATCTATCAGCCAGGGGACTGACTTGCAGCCAGCCAGTGCCAAATCAACCAGAAGGCCAGGCCCTTAAACAGAGTATTGAATTGGAGCTTGGATCGGCTCGGCCTTGTGATAACCGATAACGATCTGGGCTCCCTCACACCACCACCTCCTTGTTACCTAATATAACTTGTTTGTCAGGTTTTTATTTGGTTCTTCCCCCTGCCCACCACCCACTCCCCAAACCCACTGCCACCCCCACCTTGAATTTATTATTAGATAGAGTTGATATGCCAGTGGCATTGTGTAACATGCTTGTAAAGACGTTGTTGTTGGCATCTCAGCCATGGAACACACATGACTCACTCAGGCCTGCCTAGCTAGCTGTGCTGTGCTGCAGCAATAAGCAACTATCCCAATTATGCATACGCTATTTACCACCACTAATGTATAAGACAATTGTCAGATATTTAGATTTCATTCCACTGCAAGACCTTTTTTGAGTAGTCATATCCGGACCAAACCTCATATTCATGCTCCTACCATCTGACAAAACAGCATTATGAATTACTCATAAATTACTTGTAAATATTCAGGGTACAATACAGTAAAACACCAACACAGGTGGCTGGTGACATCATCCAGGCTGTGTCTATATTGACAGGCTCTATGATAGAGCCAGAGAGGGAACCGTTGCCTGTCTTATCTAGACTTCCTGTTAGGTTTGTTTGAGGTGCCATACAGCCTGTCTGATTGGTTTAGGCCTGGGCTGCTTTATCTGAGCTCTGTTGGTCTAAAGGCCTCCGCATGCTTCCCATCCGAAACAGTTCGGAACTGTTTGTGCATATATTATGACAACATTTTGAGATGTTTTTATTCGTTTTGGTCTTCGGCAAGGTTTTTTTTTTACTGTTCGTGCACACAATTATTTTTATTTTTGCAAGCTGAATTTCAGTAGCCGAAGTCTATGCCCCTTCGTCAGTCCTTGGTTAAAGTTCACAGTTAGCCATTGTTATGTAAATGTAGGCAGAAAAGTAGCCTACCCTGGGCCTTGCCTTAACTGGCTCAAAGTTAAGGCTCATGTCCACCAGATGCATCAAACTCTTTGCGTTCCGACAAAAGTAATTAATTGCCAATGGAGCAGTCCGCAATGCTACATAGGGGGTGCCACACTAGGCTGCGGTGCGTTCTGTGTACCGCATGCATTGCTTTACCGTGCGGTGGTACAAACTGAGGTACGCACACAGACTCCAACTAGCAAACTTTTAGCTTGTTACAAGTGAAGTACATGTACGGAAAACATGGGGGTGTAACTAAGCTAACATATGGAATTGTTTTAAGATGGTCATACCATGGATCATTTAGCTATTTGATTTAGAATTGTAGGACCCCTTTAGGTATAATTTTTTTCTTTTTTATTATTTGATAAAATATAGATACTGGCCTTTACTACTATAGCCCATAGAAACGCATTGAATAACACATTCATAAATGGCAAAAAAAAAGTATGTGAAAAAATGAATCATCAAGGAATAAGGTTTTGAAGTGTCTTGTGCTATATCTAGGAGATATAAGAAAGCTCGGGAAATATTTTTTTGGACACATATTTAACCCCTTATTTTTGTTGGCACAAAACAAGACGCAGCCCATACTAGTTTACATTGATGGATTTTGATGGGGATTTGTTTATTATGTTACTTAGATTGACTCTTAAGGATTAATGCACACATTGTGCGCTGCAGAGGGATGGTGGCCAGTCGATTTCCATTGTCATGATCAATGGCAGAAGCAGGGAACAAAAGGAGAGACATGATTGATTATGTTTTCTTGGGGGCTCGCTCTGCGCTCATGTTTAGATCCTCTCTCCGCACGGTTCACGCCTCCTTTCTCCGTCCCCTTATACCTCATTGGATGAATGGAGGTTGTTTTCGCCTTTCGATTGGCTGTTGTGCACGTCAGTCAACCAGGGCTCAGTTTATTTACGGAGTGTGTGCGCTGAGATCGAACGGGATTCTGCTGTGGGGCTGCAACAGCTGACAACTGAGCACTTTACCCAGTGCCTGAAGGAACAAAGCGAGAAAGGAAACATCCATTTAAATATACCTTTACATTTTTATACCTGAAACACAAGATCGCACTGAGGACACATTATGAGGCACGCAACTGCAGCAACAGAAACCATGGAAAATAATTCATTTACAGTAACAGACTTATATAAAATATGCACTCATTGTGAACGGCTAAGCAAAAAGGTAAGCGAAAAGGAAAATAAAGGGCAAATGCTTTTGACAGTGAATGCATGTTTTTAAAACTATGTGCACCGTCGTTGTGGAATTTAGAGTATTAATGTGTGACAAATTCATGTCCCTTTAGACAGTTTTTCTGTGGCTGCGAGTGAAGGAACTGCAGTGCAGTCTTTTCTTTTGTGTCCAATCTTGTTTATGCGTTTGAGGAGTTTGCGTTGCTTGTCAAAGCTCTACATTTATTCGCCTGCTTTGTCATCATATTGTCAACTCTGCTATTCGGTATATGCTCTTAGCTCAATTTTTCGGTTGGTGTCTTTGAATGCGAGACAGTGTTGTCGCTTTCTAGCAATCTTCGGCCCGGAGTCTTCTAGGTCATTCATTCTACCAGTTCATTGCGCTGCGCAGAGGGACACGAACGGAGCTATCTATGGAGCCCCTAGGGAACATGTCGTGATCAGCGACTTCTTAAGTTGACAGTTTGCTGACAGTTGGCTGTTTAATGTGATGTCAATCATTTCTTGAATTTGTTCCTTTAATAACATCCTTTAGTATGCGAGCCTTTCCGAATAACTTTGTGTCATATAATGTATGAATTAGGGTATTATTAAAACGTATCAAGTGTATATCAAATGTTTTCAAACTGCAAGTGGTTACATAACCTCAGCACGCATGATACATTGTATCTATCAAGTGTTTGATTTGTGTATTTTGAGACTTTTGTCGCATTTCTAGAGACTACTGTTATGGCAGCTTGCTGCAGCGAAATTGTGAACAAAGCGAGTTGGATTTCTCTTTTGCACAGGCTGGGCTTGCAATGCTCCAACCCGACTGTAGAGCGAGTATGTGGTCTAGTGGAGAGAGGGGAGAGATGTATCTTGCAGAAGGTAGTACAATATTACTCGGTCAGGGCTCGCAGCCAAAATGGTACTAAAAACAGCATTTAGGCATTTGACTCCACTGAGCACGGTTGGCATGCTGTTGCATTTGGTTCTTGCAGAACTATAATGTGTTTCTGTACTCTTTTTGTCTTGCAGGACTCAGGAGTACGGATACCAAGACCACTGGGGAATGGACCAAGTAGATTTATCCCTGAAAAAGAGGTAAGGAGAACAACAGCTTTATGTACCACAAAGGATTTTTCTATACTTATGAAAAGTATTACTCACCTTTTACTTACCATTACAATACATTAAAGTGCCATATTATATCAATAAGTGATTGAGAGTAAAAATTAATTTACTGGCTCTCTGGCACCAGATCCTTCAAATCAGTAAAGTAGATCCGAGGACACAATCGATATTCGAGGACGCATTCGCTGCACTGGGTCGTCTTGACAACATCTCCTTGGTGATGGGCTTCCACCCACAGTACCTGGAGAGTTTCCTGAGGACACAGCACTACCTGCTGCAGATGGACGGGCCCTTATCCCTGCACTACCGCCACTACATAGGCATCATGGTGAGGCCCCTTACCCCCTACTCTAACCACTACACTACCATGGTATAGCCACTGCATAGACACTCTTGGACAGTCTCGTAACTCTCTCTCCTTCCCCCTCTTCCCTCCCAGGCTGCGGCCAGACACCAGTGCTCCTACCTGGTCAACCTGCACGTCAACGACTTCCTCCAGGTGGGAGGGGACCCCAAGTGGCTGAACGGCCTGGACGGAGCCCCACAGAAGCTGCAGGCCCTCGGGGAGCTCAACAAGATCCTGGCCCACCGGCCCTGGCTTCTTACCAAGGCACACATCGAGGTACGCAGCTGGGGCTGGACCTGTGACACACACACCCAGGACTGGACAAAGGGACAGGTTAGGGTTATGTAACTGAGATCATGGGTGGAGGCACACCAGAGTTATGCAGCTGTTACTTGACAGGGTTAGTTATATGAAAGGGGTAGGAATGGACAGAGAAGAAAAGATTCCATCCAAAGGAAACTACTGTCTGACATATCAACTCTCTCTTCTCCCCCTCCCCAGCACCTGCTGAAGGCTGAAGAACACAGCTGGTCCCTGGCTGAGCTGATCCATGCCGTGGTGCTCCTCACACACTACCACTCCCTGGCCTCCTTTACCTTCGGCTGTGGCATCACCCCTGAGATCCACAGTGACGGGGGGCACACCTTCAGACCCCCCTCCGTCAGCCAGTACTGGGTCTGTGACATCGCCAATGACAATGGGCACGGCAACGACCTGGAGGAGAAGAGAGGCAGCCACCAGGTGCGAGGAAGGAGGAGGGTGTGTGTGTGTGTGTGTGTGTGTGTGTGTGTGAGAGAAAGTGAAACTGGGGGTTTTGTTAGTAACCGGCTTTGACAAAGATGTGTGGTTGTGAGTTGAGTGGTTCTTGTGGTTGTGGTCACCCTATGTATGACCCAAGAACGTGTGTGTGTACCTGTCTAGGTGTCTGGTGAGGTGGAGGTGCTGATGGAGAGAATGAAGCTGCTGCAGGAGTGTCGTGATGAAGAGGAGGCCAGTCAGGAGGAGATGGCCACACGCTTCGAGAGGGAGAAGACTGAGAGCATGCTGGTGGCCACAGCAGAGGACGAGGAGTGTGTGCCGTCCAGAGACGTGTCCAGGCACTTTGAAGACCCCAGCTACGGCTACAAGGACTTCTCCAGGAGAGGAGAACACGTACCCACCTTCAGAGTGCAGGTATATAACACACACACACACACACACCGTCACTTACGGAAAAACAGGGAGACAGAAAGAGGCGTTTTAAAGGAAAGTGGAGTTTTCTCAATAGCTTCAAGATGACATTTTCTAAATGTTGCACTATGCAGTATCTATCCGATTGACCAATTGATATCCAGACATTGTGATTAACACCTTGCTTTCTTCTCCTTTCTCCTCCCTCTTCTTCAGGACTACAGTTGGGAGGACCACGGCTACTCCCTGGTGAACCGTCTGTACCCTGACGTTGGTCAGCTGTTGGATGAGAAGTTCCAGATGGCCTACAACCTGACCTACAACACCATGGCCATGCATAAAGACGTGGACACCTCCATGCTCCGCAGGGCTATCTGGAACTATATCCACTGCATGTTCGGCATCAGGTACGCCACTCACTGGCGCTATACAAACACAAATCTACGAATACAAATTGATTTATTCCAAGATCACATATGCTAGATTCAAAACATGAATATTGTCACGTGTTTAATACATTGAGAAAATGCATTCATTTCGTACGGTAATGTACTTAGTAAAGAAATAACTGTATTTATCAGTAGCTCTAACAGATCTCCCTCTGTGTGTGTGTCTCAGGTATGACGACTATGACTACGGGGAGATCAACCAGCTGTTAGACCGCAGCTTTAAGGTCTATATTAAGACCATGGTGTGCAGCCCGGAGAAGACCACCAAACGAATGTACGAGAGCTTCTGGAGGCAGTTCCAGCACTCCGAGAAGGTGAAGGAACAACTTCTTATTTTATTTTACTTATTGGTCCATGGGTTAATGTTTCTATTGGTAGCATTTAAAGTTTGATCTGTGTAAATGGAGTAGTGTTGTGTTGTAACTCTCTCTTTCCCTTTCCCAGGTCCATGTAAATCTGCTTCTTATGGAAGCGCGTATGCAGGCGGAACTGCTCTACGCTCTGAGAGCGATCACCCGCTACATGACATGAAGTGCTTTTGGCATTTATCGTTCTCTTTTACTGTCGTTGCTCTCGTTGGACACTTCAAAATAAAAAGAAAAAGAAGAAATAAACCAAGAGAAAATAAATAGGAAGGGACAGAAAGGAGCCCCGTCTATCACGACGAAGCTCGTCCTCGTGATCGATGGAATGTAGAAAGATGAACAGAACAAAAGAAAGAGAGAAGGGGGGGGGGGAAAAACAAATGAAAGAAATAAATAACTGCAAAAAATTATAATCTGAACCCACTTGTGGAAAGATAATCTGAACCCACTTGTGGAAAGATCCGTCGGTCCTCTTTGCCCGCAGTGCCAAAACTCACCATGAGGAGGCAGCCTGGAGCAGACTCCCTCTGCCGGGAGTGTGTGCCGGGCCAGAGGACAGAAACAGAAGGCACAGGCCAACCTTCCAGTATTCCAGGATGATGGCACTGAAATCTCCTTATAGTGTGAAAACCCACAGCAATTCTCCAGAAAGAAAAGCAGTGCACCAGTCTGCACTCAATAGGGGGGGGAGGGGGAGAGGGAGAAGGTGTTATTAAGAGAAGGTGTTATCATGTGGTTGATGATCTTATTGCGGTAACTGGAGATGATGAAAGCATTATTCGGGCTGTGTGGTAAAGTGTGCCTGATTGATATCATGCAGCACAGCACAGTGTTCAGAGGTGCTGCCTGATACTGCTGCTTCTGTAAGCTAATGTAAGCATGGGGTCATATTGACTCCCCCACCCCCAACCCCCTAAGAACCCTAACCATCCTAAACCCACAGCATTATAAACTGTTTGTGTAAGCTAACCCAAGGAGTGTGTGAAAACGGAAAGGTGTTGGAAAAACTAAAAAAGAACACTGTCTGAGCCCTATTAAGTTTGACTGTACGTATGATGAACCCATTCTGTATGAGAGGCTGATGTCTGTGACAAATATAATGTGTGGATGTGTGTGACTCCGTGTGTTTTACAGAAAATATAAAGAAAAAAAAGTTTTTCAAGCGTAAAAAAGAAGAAAGGGTGGCGCTTTGAAGGATGAGACTTCTTGCTTCTGCTGTAGCTCTTTTTGTGTGGTGACTGTTAAATCGCTGTTGTTTTGTTTCTGGTAGAAGCTTTGTCCTGTAAGGAAAAAAACAAGAAAGCCAAAACAAAAAACGTTTTTATAAACCAGGTCTTCCAGGGGATTGGCTTCCGGTTGTCATAACGATGACCTCACCTGTCTGTCTTCCGTTCACCTGTGACCTTTGACCCTGGCCTGATCATCCTAACATTTTCAAAGCTTTGGATTGTGAATTTGACCAGTAAATACCTCTTCTGTTTTCTCTATCACATTAAGAAGTGCTCTTTGGCGAGCAGAATTACTCTTTATATCTCTGGGTCACTTGGCTTCCATTCGTAGGGAGACCGGTTGGTAGGGAGACCGGTTGGACCGCAGTCGGTCATAGCTGTGCTTGTTCCCTCTGTGGAAGCCTAACCAGTGCAAAAGTAGCTTTTTTATTTTTTAAGACGAGGGCAGACCCTCCACTGTTTTATTTTTGTTGACTGAAAACGAGTAAAGTACTGCATTCTTCTGAGGGTGGATTGGGACAGTTGGACAGTTGAATGATTGTTTGACGTTAAGAGGAGGAGGAACATGAGGATGATTATGGAATGGTACATTATTTGGAGATGGTTGTGGTAGGAGGTTTCATCAAACTTCTGACTGATGTCAGTTACTGACACTTTATTAAAGCAATTAAATATATATTTTTTATTGAATCATTTTGTATCATTTAGTCGTTTTCTCCCTAAAACTGTTTTTGCTGCATCAGAATTGTCATAATCATTACATATCAACATATGTACACGTTGAATCATTCATGGAACAAACCCACCAAATTGTAGTCACAGCACACATGTATTATCTGCAACCTGAACAATGGACATCTGATCTCTATCAATTACATTTTCCAATGTAAGCTCAGTAATGATATAGGAAAACATTGACTATTACAGATACATTTTGTACACTTTAATGCAATAATGTCTCTCACACATAATGAAATGTTTCGTACAACAGCGTAAGACTGTTAGGTATGCGAGTCCAAATCCTAGCAGTGTTTCAGTTTCCTGTGTGGAGTCAGTCCTCCCATTCACACTACACTGAACTCAGTGGTTCGATGTTTGCTTGTGTTAACGATACGACCCAAACAGAACCACAAATGGTCCTTCCTTGTCCATGTGTGGTCAAGTCACAGTTGAACGTTACTCCCACAACTGTTTTGCTAAAACATTTGGACCTGTCTGTAATGTGCAGTGAGATAAGAGGGGAAATTCCCTCTAGGATCACCTTTGAGCTTTGTTCTGCTCACTTACTTCTGTCCTCACTGGAAAAACTCCCTGGCATGACCAGCTATAGACTGAATTCTTTGGATGTTCAGGGACTTTTCCATTAAGACAGAGGGTGACTTGGTCCATTCAATCACCAGCAGTGTATCTACTGAACTGCCTCTATTTTTGACTGACTAATTTCCCTATGACAATCTGAAAAAGGATGAGACTATTAAACAAATGATGCTCTTAACACCTCCATGATCAGCCAGCTACCTGTTTCATATCAACCCAGACGGACAAGCATCTATCATGTGGAGAACAATGTTTGTCATTGAATATGCCTGACGAAATGCTATTGGGTTGTCTCGTGTGTTGTGTGATGACATCACTGAACGCTTTAATTTTGTGTAGTAGGATAAGGAAGTGGGGAACTGAGGAGGGTTTTTTACAGAAGTGCCGTTTTTTTTATTTGTTGTTTGATGTGATGATAATAACAATGTGATTTGAAAACGCTGTCCTTTACTCTGTGTAACTTTGCAGCAGCACTGCCTGGTCCATATTTGTGTAACAATAAAGGCTTTGAGGAGAAAGTTTACGACACTTTTCTGTTTTGTTGTGGTTTATTGTGTACAGCGGTTCACAGTACACAGATTTAGGGCTCTATTCAATCAGATCCACTTTAGCCGACATCAACATAATAATAATTTAATCAACTTTTATATAGCACTATTCATTAGATTAATCTCAAAGCCCTGTAAAGCAACAACAAAAAACAAGCAATTTAAAACCCACATTAATCGTCATGAGTTGATCGACGGTCAAGAGACTGAAGGTTGAGAAAGTTCAGTGCTTAGGAGGTCAAAGGACAAAGGAGGTGGTCAAATGGGAGAGCCGGGAGCATAGCGGTGGTTTTGGCGGTGTCGGAGGTGAAACTGCGTTAGAGCTGTCAAATCCACAAGCAGCTCCTGGCATTATACCTAAAACGGACATTGCCATTGGCTGCAATGAGTCGCTTTAAGATAAATCCCATGCAGCCTTGTTTAAAATAAATAATATAAATAATAATATATTTATAATATCAAGTTCAAAAACTGGAATGTGAGATGTAATCTATACCTCGATTAGGCTGTTAGAAATCCTCATTTCATTTAATGATGTCAAATTTCAGCGTCATTATTTCTATATAGCCTACACGTTCTCGTTCTGAACTTCTAACGCGAGTGGGACGGCTGTAGCTTCGTTACAATGATCAAGAGGAGCTGCTCACAGATTTGACAGCTCCAATGCATTTAGACCTCTGACACCGCAAAAACATCAGCTATGTGGGTGTCGGCTATTGCCGGTTTACACTTGATCTGATTGAATCTAGGCCTAACAATGTCTTAACCAGCCATAAGGAGAAACATTCACTTTTTATCACCACAGAGGCAAATTACAATTCTGCTCATATGTTAACAAGAGTAGCTTATGACAAAATCACATTAATCATTTACAGTATGCATACGATACAACCTAAAAACGATAATTTCTGTTATTTAAAGTGCAAACAGTTTGTCTTACATGTCAGGTAGAGGCTCAAAATTCAGTATGTCATAGGTATGGGCCCTGCGTTTTTCATGACCATGTGACATAACCAGGAAAAACTCTAGACCCAAGTTACAGCCTATAACTAAGTCCCATAGTTTTTCCTGGCCAGGGCCTTATTAATAGAATTAGAGAGTGTGGTAGCAGCATAGAGTAGAGAGTGACTTTAGAGAGGTCAGTGTAGCAAGGCACAACAAGGAGTAAGGAGAGGACATTGCAGACGTCACACTAGGGAGGGAGACAGATGTGCATCCCAAATGACACCCAATTCCCTATATAGTGCACTACTTTTGACCAGTGCACTATATAGGTAACAGGGTGCCATTTGCGACAACCAGAGTAAGGAGATAGATGACTGACAGTAGGGGCTGACAGTCATGTCAGTCAGTCTGAGTTTGGATCCTGTCCCTCAGCCTCTGAGCCACAGGCAGGAACTCCAACTCCCAGCATGCTCGGTGGAAGTCACTCATGTCATCACCAGAGGTCCACTGCAGTGCGTCCTCCTCGTCTGAGAGAGAAAGAGCATCATCAAAAAGCTTCAACATAAAAAAATATATATATATGAAAAAAGTATCTGTTTACAGCAGTAGACCAAAGCATAGAAAAACTATAGATGGTTATTCAAGAAACTTTCGGTAAATCATTACAGTAGTTTGGTATCCTTACCTAGGTACAGTGTTAGGACCTCTAGCAGTGCCTCTCTCTCCTGGTTGTTCAGTGTGGATGGGGGGTCTGTCTCCGTCCCTGTCCCCCCCTCCTCAGTGAGGTTCCACAGGGTCTGACACACCAGGCCAGCTAGCTGCCAGTCCACTGGCCCAAAGTCCCTCAGACAGTCTGCCAGCCTGCACAGGCATTCACACACACACACACACACACACACACACACACACACACACACACACACATACACACACACACACACCATGTGACTGGGCAAGACTTAAGTCACATGATCCTTGAGTGCAGCTGGTCCTAAAGGTGGGCTGAGGAAACTTCAGAGTTCTGCCCCTGCTACTGTAGTAAGTCTCTTCTGCTACAGATGACAGTCTTCTGCTTATTACTCTACAACAGATATATTTATATATACAGTACCAGTCAAAAGTTTGGACACACCTACTCATTCAAGGGCCTTTCTTTATTTTTACTATTTTCTACATTGTAGTATAATAGTGAAGACATCAAAACTATGAAATAACACATATGGAATCATGTAGTAACCAAAAAAGTGTTAAACAAATCAAAATATATTTTATATTTTAGATTCTTCAAAGTAGCCACCCTTTGCCTTGATGACAGCTTTGCACACTCTTGGCATTCTCTCAACCAGCTTCATGAGGAATGCTTTTCCAACAGTCTTGAAGGAGTTCCCACATATGCTGAGCACTTGGTGGCTGCTTTTCCTTCACTCTGCGGTCCAACTCATCCGAAACAATCTCAATTGGGTTGAGGTCGGGGAATTGTGGAGGCCAGGTCATCTGATGCAGCACTCCATCACTCTCCTTGGTCAAATTGCCCTTACACAGCCTGGAGGTGTGTTTTGGGTCATTGTCTTGTTGAAAAACAAATGACAGTCCCACTAAGCGCAAAACAGATGGGACGGCGTATCGCTGCAGAATGCTGTGGTTCCCATGCTGGTTAAGTGTGCCTTGAATTCTAAATAAATCACTGACAGTGTCACCAGTAAAGCACCCCCACACCATCACACCTCCTCCTCCATGCTTCACGGTGGGAACCACACATGCGGAGATCATCCGTTCACCTACTCTGCGTCTCACAAAGACATGGCGGTTGGAACCATAAATCTCAAATTTGGACTCATCAGACCAAAGGACAGATTTACACCGGTCTAATGTCCATTGCTCGTGTTTCTTGGCCCAAGCAAGTTTCTTCTTCTAATTGGTGTCCTTTAGTAGTGGTTTCTTTGCAGCAATTTGACCATGAATGCCTGATTCACGCAGTCTCCTCTGAACAGTTGATGTTGAGATGTGTCTGTTACTTGAACTCTGTGAAGCATTTATTTGGGCTGCAATCTGAGGTGCAATTAACTCTAATGAACTTATCTTCTGCAGCAGAGGTAACTCCGGGTCTTCCTTTCCTGTGGCGATCCTCATGAGAGCCAGTTTCATCATAGCGCTTGATGGTTTTTGCGACTGAAATTGAAGAAATTTTCCAAGTTCTTGTTCAGTATTCTTGTTCCAAGTTCAAGTTCTTGTTAATGTTCAGTATTGACTGACCTTCATGTCTTAAAGTAATGATGGACTGTCATTTCTCTTTGCTTATTTGAGCTGTTCTTGCCATAATATGGACTTGGTCTTTTACCAAATAGGGCTATCTTCTGTATACCCCGCACTACCTTGTCACAACAAAACTGATTGGCTCAAACACATTAATAAGGAAAGAAATTCCACAAATTAACTTTTAAGAAGGCACACCTGTTAATTGAAATGCATTCCAGGTGACTACCTCATGAAGCAGGTTGAGAGAATGCCAAGAGTGTGCAAAGCTGTCATCAAGGCAAATGGTGGCTATTTGAAGAATGTTTAACACTTTTCTGGTTACTACATGATTCCAAATGTGTTATTTCATAGTTTTGATGTCTTCACTATTATTCTACAATGTAAAAAATTGTGAAAATAAAGAAAAACCCTTGAATGAGTAGGTGTGTCCAAACGTTTGACTGGTAGTGTATATATATATATATATATATATATATATATATATATATATATATATATATATATATATATATTTTAAATGTACCCCCTATTTCTCCCCAATTTCATGATAACGATCTTGTCTCATCGCTGCAACTCCCCAACGGGCTCGGGAGAGGCGAAGGTCGAGTCATGCGTCCTCCGAAACATGACCCGCCAAACCGCGCTTCTTAACACCCACTCACTTAACCCGGAAGCCAGCTGCACCAATGTGTTGGAGGAAACACTGTTCAACTAACAACCGAAGTCAGCCTGCAAGCGCCCGGCCCACCACAAGGAGTCGCTAGAGCGGGATGAGCCAAGTAAAGCCCCCCCGGCCAAACCCTCCCCTAACCCAGACGACGCTGGGCCAATTGTGCACCGCCCTATGGGACCCCCGGTCACGGCCGGTAATGACACAGTCTGAGATCAAACCCCAGGCTGTAGTGACGCCGCAACACTGCGATGCAGTGCCTTAGACTGCTGCGCCACTCGGGAGGCTCTGTAACAGATATTCTATAAAATGTTTGCATGTATAAAAATCTCAATAAGCTCAATTAACATAATCAAAAGAGGTCAGTAGATCAAGTAAAGTAGCCTAAGCTGTGAGTCCTAAAAGCACCAGGTCTTAATTTACATGTTTTAGTACCATAAAGAAGGTACTGGAGTTGAGACCTAGTAAAATGACCACATACAGTACTCTAATATCATTCCTAGTTCCTGTGTGTGCTCCTTACTTGGTGTGTGCCCCCTCCTGTGTGAGAGTCGTTCTGCTGGGGGGGTCCAGGGCCAGGTTAGTGAGGACCCCACAGGCTGAGAAACACACCTCCGGGCTCTTAGAGTCCAGCAGAGTCACCACAAACTGGTGCACTGGGGGAGATGGGGAAAGGAGGGGTTAAGAGGGGTTAGGGGTACAACACAGGAGTGAGGGGGGGTCTTTTTTGTTAGTGTTTATCTGGGAAAAAAGGTTTGTATTGTGTGTATGTGTTTGTGTGTACGTGCATGCATCATGCATGTGTGCGTGCTCTGGAATACAATACCTAAAGCACACACACAGGGTGTCAATAGAGCATGACACATTCCCCCATTTCACTCCACTGTATGTGTGTGTGTGTGTGTGTGTGTGCGCATATACACACCTTTGTTTTGTATGATGAAGTCACAAACCTGCCTGGACTGGGACAGGTTTCCAAACACACGCGTGGCCTCCAGCATCCCATCCATACTGGAGCCGAGGAGCAACTTCAACAGCACTACAGAGAGAGAGAGGGGGGGTGAAAGAGAGCGAGAAACGGTGAGAAAGCAAATATAAAAAGACACTAGAGCCACACAAACACATAGGCCTAGTATACACAAAAACAGCCTCTCGCGCACACACAACACACATACACACTCTGTCTCTAGCTCTCTTACGCTTTGCGACAGTAAGTCCTCTGTCCCTGACCACTGAGCTGTCTTCCTGGTAAAAGGACAGGTTGTTGATGGTGGCAGCCACGTTCACCAGAAGCTCCTCGCTTTCCTGCATGGACCTGAGCTCTGACACACACAGAGGACACACACTTTACAGCAGGGATCATTCAAATATGATGCATTTACTGTGGAAAAAATATCTCTGTTGAGGCTCTCTGCAGCACAGCAAGAACCCAATTTATAGGTCAAATAAAGGCACTGGTATAGTGAAAAGTGTGAAAATAGTAACTATGGAATACGCAAAATTCACTTAGCTACATGTTATATGCAGGAAATGTACAAATAAATGTGGGTATCATTTCCAACAAACTTGTGCAGAAAATGAAAAAAAGATGCAAGCGGTTGAAAACAGAATGTGCTCTTGATTTAGCAGCAGATGTTGCTTATTCAGTCATCCTGTATATCACAGATATTGCGGTCGTACTGAGTGTCAACCGGTGCCTGCGTCATAGTGTGTGTTTCGTTTCTGGGTCTAACTGGAAAGGCTCTTTAGTGTGGTGGAGAATTTCTCCTCCTCTCTCTAATGTAAAGCAGCATGCATGGCCTGTCATAAACTGTGATCAAAACAGGATATTATTGAGCTGCCTGATTTATGTCCACAGCCAGTGCAGATCTCTTCGGTCTGTCTGCCTGACTGTCTCACAATCTACTCTCCATTTTGCTATTTTTCCCATTCTTTCTTTACTTTGTTTCACACTCACCCGCTCTTTCTTCAAATATTCCATACCTTTGTCTTTCTCACCATCTGCATATGGCCCTCTATTTCTCTCTGTCATTCTCTTTCCATCTCCCCATACCCAGTCACGTGCAGTACAGTGTGTGGGAGGGAGGTGGAATACAAGAGCTCACAGTTAAAGCTGAGAAACTAAGAATTTCACACCCACCTGAACATGGCCTATACCAGTCAGTCAGTCCTGAAACCATCATTCTAACCACCTAGGAGTTTCACAAGAACCAACCAGGCTCTCAAGAGAACAGAGCATCCTGCTCTCTCTCTGGCTCTTTTCTGCAAAAGGACCCAAACCGAAAAAGGATGTGCACAAAAAAATCTAAAGAAAGAAAGAAAGCGAGAAATGGAAGAATGAAATAGGTATTAGATGTTTGTCACTTGTTCCCAGCACACAGGAAGCGGTGGTACCAAACAAGGACTGACTGTACAGAGTTACAGTAAAGGGTGTGTACAGTGTTATTCATCTGGTGACGGAGCACCTCAGGGATAAACAACTACTGTACTACTGTCTTGAGTGCTAGCTAGCTAGTTAGCTAACTAACTAACCCTGGTGAATAGAACGCTTCAGTACAACCAGGGACAATATGGGGATGAGAACATTATGGGAACATTATGGGGATGTTATGGGGATGTTATGGGAACATTATGGTAATGTTATGGAGACATTATGAGAACATTATGGGGATGTTATTAGAACATTTTGGGAACATTATGTGGATGTTATGAGAACATTATGGGGCCATATTTCACCCTTACATTACCCTCAAAGCGCTGAAACTCACCCAGTGTGTCCAGCAGGTAGTGTATTAGGTGTGTGTTAGCTGCCAGGGTCGGTCCCACTGCAGGGTGGATGGACATATTAGCCAGCACCCTGACCAGCTTCACCAGCACATCCTCGCTCTCCCGCCATCCTAAGGGAGGGGTGCGGGGGGTACGGGTGTCCCTGGCTGGAGGTGTGCGGGGTGTGTGTGCGGTAGGTGTGTCCCACCTCCCCTGGTAGGTGTGGTAGAGCCCCAGGAGCACAGACATACATCCCTCAGCCGTGAAGAGGTGCTTTCTGGCCTCACTGCTCCGAGACGTTAGGTTACCCAGAGTGAAGAGCAGACGCACCACCAGGTCCTGTGTGGAGGAGAGACAGAGGGAGGGGGGTCGAATGTGTGTCAGTGGAGTGTGTGTGTGCCTGTGTTATCCACATAAACAAATACCTTGGCTACAGAGAGTAACACAGTAATTTATCCTATCAGATATGGCATGAAATTCGTCACATTTACCATTTCTCCCCCACCACAACCACAAGGACCGACAAATTACCCCAAAAGCAGATGAAAACAACCTGTATACCACTACGTTTGTTTTTTAATCGCACTCCGCCCCTCCCCAAAAGTGTGTGTCACAAACACAGAAACACACACATCCTTCCCATTGCCCTAGAGTTACCCTAGTCCTGGCTGGGCTGACTGGCCAGTGTGGCTGGGATGGACTGGGCTGTCCTGTACTGTACAGGCTGTCCTGTCAAAGAGCTATTCAGGACACAACGTGATCAACCGTGTGTCTGTGTGTATTAATGGGGGATATCTACTGTGTCTACTGTGTGTGTGTGTGTGTGTATGTGTGTGGTGTTAGCACCCCTGCTGTGTGGTGTTTATTCCCTGGGTGATTTAGATCCTCTAGGATTGCCAGAGCCCTGAGGAAGGGAAGGATGACTTCCTCAGTTTCTCCTGGGACGCTGATTAAAGTCAAAACACACACACACACACACTGCTGTAAATGCACTGGGACTTGGAGTACATAAACAACTTGCTCAAGGTAAACAGGCTTAGTCGATGAACAGTATAAACACTGGGAGTGAATAGGCTAATCTGCTTCCTATACCACCGTACACACACACACACACACACACACACACACACACACACACACACACACAGGGCTCACCTGTTTCCGCTGGTGTTTGCTCAACAGTTCTATAAATAGTGTGTAGCAGCCAGGGGTCTGGGCCAGAGCCAGGCAGCACTCAGAGTAGGAGGACAGTTTACTGGAGGACAGACAGAGGGACAACAAATAACACTCACCAGATAGACTCTCACTGTTTTACTAAAGAGGGATGGGTTTTAATGGCGTTCGTTGTGGAAATAGGGTGTGCTACATGGTCCATTCATATTATAAGATAGGATGAACTGTCAATGTGTTGTTATGAGGAATAACAGTTCAGGGGTGGCTGATGTAGTTGGGAAAAGTACAGTGGGGAAAAAAAGTATTTAGTCAGCCACCAATTGTGCAAGTTCTCCCACTTAAAAAGATGAGAGAGGCCTGTCATTTTCATCATAGGTACACGTCAACTATGACAGACAAATTGAGAATTTTTTTTCCAGAAAATCACATTGTAGGATTTTTAATGAATTTATTTGCAAATTATGGTGGAAAATAAGTATTTGGTCACCTACAAACAAGCAAGATTTCTGTCTCTCACAGACCTGTAACTTCTTCTTTAAGAGGCTCCTCTGTCCTCCACTCGTTACCTGTATTAATGGCACCTGTTTGAACTTGTTATCAGTATAAAAGACACCTGTCCACAACCTCAAACAGTCACACTCCAAACTCCACTATGGCCAAGACCAAAGAGCTGTCAAAGGACACCAGAAACAAAATTGTAGACCTGCACCAGGCTGGGAAGACTGAATCTGCAATAGGTAAGCAGCTTGGTTTGAAGAAATCAACTGTGGGAGCAATTATTAGGAAATGGAAGACATACAAGACCACTGATAATCTCCCTTGATCTGGGGCTCCACGCAAGATCTCACCCCGTGGGGTCAAAATTATCACAAGAACGGTGAGCAAAAATCCCAGAACCACACGGGTGGACCTAGTGAATGACCTGCAGAGAGCTGGGACCAAAGTTACAAAGCCTACCATCAGTAACACACTACGCCGCCAGGGACTCAAATCCTGCAGTGCAAGACGTGTCCCCCTGCTTAAGCCAGTACATGTCCAGGCCCGTCTGAAGTTTGCTAGAGTGCATTTGGATGATCCAGAAGAGGATTGGGAGAATGTCATATGGTCAGATGAAACCAAAATAGAACTTTTTGGTAAAAACTCAACTCGTCGTGTTTGGAGGACAAAGAATGCTGAGTTGCATCCAAAGAACACCATACCTACTGTGAAGCATGGGGGTGGAAACATCATGCTTTGGGGCTGTTTTTCTGCAAAGGGACCAGGACAACTGATCCGTGTAAAGGAAAGAATGAATGGGGCCATGTATCGTGAGATTTTGAGTGAAAACCTCCTTCCATCAGCAAGGGCATTGAAGATGAAACGTGGCTGGGTCTTTCAGCATGACAATGATCCCAAACACACCGCCCGGGCAACGAAGGAGTGGCTTCGTAAGAAGCATTTCAAGGTCCTGGAGTGGCCTAGCCAGTCTCCAGATCTCAACCCCATAGAAAATCTTTGGAGGGAGTTGAAAGTCCGTGTTGCCCAGCGACAGCCCTAAAACATCACTGCTCTAGAGGAGATCTGCATGGAGGAATGGGCCAAAATACCAGCAACAGTGTGTGAAAACCTTGTGAAGACTTACAGAAAACGTTTGACCTGTGTCATTGCCAACAAAGGGTATATAACAAAGTATTGAGAAACTTTTATTATTGACCAAATACTTATTTTCCACCATAATTTGCAAATAAATTCATTAAAAATCCTACAATGTGATTTTCTGGATTTTTTTCCCTAATTTTGTCTGTCATAGTTGACGTGTACCTATGATGAAAATTACAGGCCTCTCTCATCTTTTTAAGTGGGAGAACTTGCACAATTGGTGACTGACTAAATACTTTTTTTCCCCTACTGTATTTGAGCTATCTTTAACCATCACTTTATGTTTACAGACTAAAAAGAAATGCACAATACACACAATGTCCAATGGCCTGAGGAATGTACTGTCCCACTCTCAATGAAACAGTTGAATGTAAGTTTTGAGAGGTTTTAGGTGTACAGTGTGTGTGCGTGTATGTGTGTGTTACCTGAACACCCTGGCAATGTTGGTGCAGATGTCCTGGTCTCCGTGGTGATGGCGCAGCACCAGGCATAGTTCTGTCAGGGCGCCGTGGGAGACGAAAAGGGGGCGGGACTCAGGGAGGTCAGCCAGGTTCCTCAGGGTCGCTGTCAACTGCAGGGGTCAGAGGTGGAGAGAGAGAGAGAGAAAGAGAAAGAGAAAGAGAGAGCGAGAGCGAGAGCGAGAGCATGTGATGCAATGTCGATGTGATGAGAGAGGAATCAAGAGAACTGATGATTTATTGTCGATCGTCTTAGCCAGTTGCACCTGATGTAACAATATCTCCAGTTATCTTCAACCTTTTTCTTTACAAAACATGATAGAAAGTTATTCAAAGACCCTATAAATCACTCTATCGTGAAGGAAACTGATTTCCAACACCACATAGAGCATTGCCAGCAGTAGCGCTACAATGAGAACACTCTCAGTTCCCTCTGACTACCAACAGCATAACAAGCAGCCAGATATCAAATCATCTGCTAACCTCTAACTTAAATCAGTTAATCAGATTGAAGTCGTTAAGTGGTGATTTTATATAGAATGAAACACACTGTACTGTGGAGCAGAGCTGTGTGTGTTATGGCCAGAACAGATCAGAATATCATGGAGCAGCAGACAGAAACAAAAACATAATTCCTAATACCAAGAAAAGGACAATTAAAGTTCCCCTCACCAGAACTCTGAGAAGTTCCTTAAAACTGAATATTTCAAATGTTGTTCCTTTTCCTGTTTTGTTTTGTTACATTTTTTACTTCAACTGAAAAGTGAACTGTCTTGCTGTTCTTGAACTGTTGAGGAACTTAGTATAAAGTTGCTCAAGTAACTGCCCTTGACTGATTTGCTGTCAGCTCTACCGGGCCTTTACCATAGTGTGCATAAAACTGGTTTGGGGTATCTTCTACCATCTCACCTGTACATGGATGTGTCCTGCGATGGTGAACTGAGTGTGGTCAGGTTGTGCCAGTGGGTGGAGCTTCTGTATGAGCAGGGTGGCCACACCCACACAGTCCTTGGCCAATAGGAGCCTGAGGAGGGCGGAGTTCCCTGAGAGGAACTTCAGAGTGCCCACACAGTACAACACAGCCTCCCCAGACACACACACATCCTCACAGCGCAGCACACACAGCAGGGAATCTGGACGTAATACAAAGTCGCACGCACACACTTGTTAACACATATCACTCCAACCTCACAACACATGAGCTGCTTTTGATACAAACTTACATTACATTTTAGTCATTTAGCAGATGCTCTTATCCAGAGCGACTTACACAGGTAAACACAAACACACACATTCAAACATACAGTACCAGTCAAAAGTTTGGACACACCTACTCATTCAAGGGTTTTTCTTTATTTTTGCTATTTTCTACATTGTAGAATAATAGTGAAGACATCAAAACTATGAAATAACACATCTGGAATCATGTAGTAACCAAAAAAGTGTTAAACAAATCAAAATATATTTTATATTTGAGATTCTTCAAATAGCCACCCTTTGCCTTGATGACAGCTTTGCACACTCTTGGCATTCTCTCAAAACTTTTTTGGTTACTACATGATTCCATATGTGTTATTTCATAGTTTTGATGTCTTCGCTATTATTCTACAATGTAAAAAATAGTAAAAATTAAGAAAAACCCTTGAGTTGGTAGGTGTGTCCAAACCTTTGACTGGTAGTGTATATAAATAACATTATACAATCAGTGTACACACATACTGTAAAGTATGTCAATGTGTTACCTATGATGGAGTTGTTCTGGAAGAGGATATCGTTGCTCTCACTGCGGCTGATCTTGAAGATGAGTTTACAGATGTTCAGCAGGTTGTTTCCACTGACGTTCAGCTTAACAACAACAAGTTATTAGACAACAATCATTCTAACACAGCAGCCAGGAACGTTACGCTGTTGCTTTGTACTGAGGATGTCACCCAACAAAGCTAACTAAGGGCTGGTCTGTTAAAGCTACTGTTGTGTATTAGGGCAAGGAAGAGACGGGAGAAAGAGAATCATCATGATGACATTGATTGTACTCACCTCAAGGGTGAGTTTGGCGAGCTGTAGGTTGAGTTGGGCAGAGTTGAGGTCGATGAGGCGGAACAGCGCCCTGAGAAGCCCCGCTCTCTTCCTGCAACGCCGGCCCAGCATGCCTCGCTCCGCCAGGGCGCCATGGAGACAGTCACACGCGTCACACAGTCGTTCCACGGCATCATCGGATCCACCTGAGGAGAGGCACATGATTGAGAAAAATATGTAAAGTTACTAGACATTTTTGTGCAAATATACCACTAACATGCATTATTTATGCAAATGCACACAGAGTTTTGAGTTATGCACTCATATCTTATGTTAGGATTTGGCCCTCAGTGAATATGCATGATTAACATTATGTACATTACTGAGAGGAAGAGAGAGGGTGGGGTGCTTTTCCTGAGTTTTCCAGGTAAAATACATATTTTTTTCTTCTGTCTAAAAAAGGCAGCCAATTGCCTCTTTCCAGAAAGGTTGGCCACACACTCGACTCAACATATTGCAATTTCCCAGCCAATCTGAAAGGTTTTTAATGCATGAGCCAGGAGGTACTTGGTACAAAAAATATGTTATATTTATTTTTCAAATTAATTTCCATTACATTTCAAAAGAGTTAAAATATTTACAGACCTAGATTACATTTTGCGGTAGTCAGACTGCAAAGTCAAACTAGGAGAAATGTGAAGGGACGCCAAACACAACACTACTTTGTTTTGCTTTCTTCAACCGTTAAAATGGCTCGGTGTTTACTTTTTTCATTTGTGTGCATGTGTTTTTCTACCAACACTGATTTTTTTTGCTGAACTTACATTTAAGCATGAAAATGAAATCAGCTCAATAGCACAAGAGAAACTTCCCTATATTCAAATCACAGGATAAACTTAAATTCAGTCCTGTTTTCACAATATCTCCCCACTTCCCAAAAAGTAATAAAATAATTTGTGCATTTACGAAAGAGGTGCTTTTTGTACAGGACAACATAGATGCATTAGGGAAAGAATTGCAATTCAACACCGTCCAATCATCATTGTCCTATATTGAGAAGAATGTTATGTGACTAACATCTGTTTGTACTTTTGTTTGGGGTTCATTCATAGCAAACAGAACACTACCTGCAGCGATGGACTCCAGCTCTTGCAACAGAGGGACAATCTTAACATTCCACACCACTGATTCGTCCTCAGCCGCCTGGCTGGCTGGTCTGTCTCCGTTGCCTAACTCTGTTCCTAACTCTGACACAGAAACAAGGAGACGAAAAAGGAAGAATGAAAAACATAGTTAGACAATTAATGCCTCAAACCCCAACTTGGTGCAAGAGGGCTGAGTATAGTTCACAAGTTCAGTGTCTTAAAATAAATCGCTCTGCAGGAAGTTTAATGCCGGCAATGAAAGGTCACCGTTCGCATCTATACTTCCTCTGATTTGTGTGTGTGTGTGTGTGCTTGCGCAGGTGTGTTCTAACTCTTTACTGAACATTTGCATGTCTGTCTGCCTGGCTGCCTGGTGCAGTGGTGGTGCAGGAAGCGGTGGCTACAGACCAACAGCCATTGATTGCTGCTTACAAAAGGTGTGAGTGAGGCCTTCAGCAACAACACCCTGCCTGATCAAAGCGTGACACACTGCTAAACTCTCAAAGTTGAGAGGAAAGAAAGGTGTTTATGCTGGAGATGAGATTAACACTACATTCTTGGTTCTTTTCATTTAGCAGCTTAATATATCCACCCCCAGTCAGTGTGTAGACATCAAACCAACTCTGATTTTAATTTAAGCTCAAATAAAATAAAACATCCTTCAAAGTCGGAGTGACAAAGGTCAAATTAAAACATATAATCTATATATATTTTTTAATGGTAACAAACTTGTTATAAGAACTAAAAGTTTTGACACACATCTATCCATCTACAGGCAACCAACCAACCTGGATGGAAGATTTAACAATTGGTTTAACAATTGGCCTGGTGTAGGCTACCCTCTCAGGCTCTCAGTTTGTTCGCTGTTGGACATAGTTGCCCTTAGTTGATCATAACGTACTGTTAGAATTGTATGGTTCAGTAAACTATTGAACTAAGCTAGTATTCACTTAGTGAATCAGGACTAACTTGTTCGGGCCCCGGCTCCTGCTCCTGTTCCTTCGCCTGGTCTGATAGATGAGTCAACACCACCAGGGAGCCTGAGTCCACTGCAATTTGACACACACACACACACACACACACACACACACACACACACACACACACACACACACACACACACAATACGTTAGAGTTGAAACAGTCTTTAACAAAATGGTGGCTCAGAACCTATTAGGTTTTGGCTGATTAAGTATCGTTAACTAAGATGTAAGACATTTTCAAAGATGGGTCACTCACAGTGCAAAATACTGTAGTTTGGAAACGACTGGTTGTATTGCTAGATACATACGTGACCAGTTCCTTCAGCTACCACTCGGTGTCCCCATTGCAACAGGAACTCAGACCACAGCTTTGCGGGTTAAGCCTGGTTAAAGCCGTTCCATGTTTCGACACTGTGACTTTACTCACCAGTCAGTTTCAGTTAAAGAACAGACAGTAACACCCATTTCATGTTGTTTTAATCTACACTGTTTTGTTCACTGTCTGTTTGTTGTCATTGATGTTCCAATTGATCTTGACAGTGCTCTAATGTCCCTACCGTATATGAATCATTGTAAGAGCACATGGGAGAACAGATAAGTACAATTCTGCATGGAACTTACAACTCCCTCAAGGGCTAAAGCATCTATTGGATGACTTACGGACAGTACTGAGGCTGGTACACAGGGCATAGACTAGAGCAGAGAGCACAAGCCGAGAGCAGAGGTGAATGTTATTCTAAATTTCAGAGAGAGAGAGAGAGAGAGAGGAGAGAAAAAGAGGGAGACGCACGCATACACATGGAGAGAGAGAGAGACAGAGAGAGAGAGAGAGCGAGAGTGGGAGAGAGAGAGGTCATGGGGTCTGTGTGATAGGATTAAGGCCTGATAATAGGGCCTCTGTGTGTGATAGTGCATTCTCCGAGACATGATCTCATCTGTGTCTTGGGCCTGGGCAGGGCCTGACCAATGGACAGCAGGCAGTCAGTCAGTCAGTCCCAGCAGAGACGCTGCTATGATGCTGCCAGCCATGCCCAGATGGGCACCCATATCTAACAGACATCCATTTGGAGCTATAAAGCCCTGGCTTATTGGAGAAAAAGAAGCAGCCAATGTCTAATCTCTCACGCTTCATCGCTCGCTCTCTTTTTTCAATTTCTTGCGTGTGCACTACACACTCCAACTTTAAATCTTTCTGACTCTGTAAATCAATTTGTTATATCAATCTCTTTCTCTCTCACTCGTCTCTCACCCCTGGCTCAACCCCTTACTCTCTTTTCTCTGTCACTTTCTATCCCCCTCTTTCTAAGATGGGTTGGTCTAAGTAGGAAAGTTCTGAAAAAGATTCCTTGCTTGGATTCTAGGTTCTCATTAAAAGTGTGGGGGATCTTGGTTCTAAGTAAACGTGTGGGGGATCTTGGTTCTAAGTAAACGTGTGGGGGATCTTGGTTTTTACATTTATATTTTAGTCATTTAGCAGACGCTCTTATCCAGAGCGACTTACAGTTAGTGAGTGAATGCATTTTCATACTGGCCCCCCGTGGGAAACAAACCCACAACCCTGGCGTTGCAAGCGCCATGCTCTACCAACTGAGCTACAGGGGACTAAGTAAAAGTGTTTTATGGTTGTTCGCCGTCACAGCCCCAGCAGCCCCAGCAGCTCTAGCTCATCGATGGGCGGATGGATTATAATGACAGGCCCCGTCCTCACGCCTGGAGTTATGCCTCCATAACTGACACACTCCTGATGAGGTCGGCAGAAAGAAACGGTGTTCTAGCCTCTCCTGGCTGTGGAGGTATAAGGCTGACCAGTCAGTGATGGTGATAACAGATAGATAGGCCTATTTTATTGGGAAGGGCTTTGGCTGAGAAGGTAGTTTGGGTGGGGAAACTAGGATCCCTTTAAACCAGGGATTCTCAAACTCGGTCCTCGGGTCTCCCATGGGTGCACGTTTTGGTTTTTGCCCTAGCACTACACAGCTGATTCAAATAATCAACTCATCATCAAGCTATGATTATTTGACTCAGCTGTGCAGTGCTAGGGCAAAAACCAAAATGTGCAGCCATGGGAGGCTCCCAGGACCGAGTTTGGGATATCCTGCTTTAGACAGATACCTGACCTGAATAATGAGGTTGACTTATTAGGCCTAGATGGGGGTAGCTAAAAGGTTATATAATATTTTATAAGACTTATTTACATGCACATTTGGCTAAAACTACTCTCTCTCTCCCAATGTTCTGGTTTCACTTAAGAGTGGGAGAAATTCATGAAATACCTTGAAGAAATTTGAAGGCAATCTGAGAACCAAAATGAGTGAGAAAGCATGGAGGAGGACACACTGAAGGTGTGACAAAGAGAGTGACCAAGGCCAAGGGCCAGGGGCGTGAAATGTAAAAATAGGAGGTATAACTCACCACTATACAGCAATGGCCACCATGGAATCCTTTGTGTGCCAATAAATCTTCACTTATTGTGAGAAGGAGGCGAGAGGGAGAGGGAGGAGAGAGAAGTGGGAGAAAGAGGTAGAATAAGAGTGAGAAGAATGGTGAGAAAACATTGAGAGAGAGAAAAAAAGATGGGAAAAAGAGATAGAAAGAGAGAAAAAAGAGATGAGTGGACAGACAGAAGAGAGACGAGAACAGAAAGAAATGAGGATATGGAGGAAAGATAGAGAGAACAAGGGGTGAAATGTAGAGAAATGTACAGGCATACAGTACCTTTCACTGTTGGTCCTGCGTGGGGCAGGTTTCGAGGGTCCTCCACTATCCTTGTCCCTCCTCTCTCGATCAGTAGGCTCAACATAAGGGGCTCTCCTGCCTCTTCCCTTAGCTGACAGCTCTCTCTGCTCTGGGCTGGAGTCTGAATTTACACTCTCCCTTACTACAAAAACAAGACAGTACAATTAAGAGTTATTATAGTTACTGGATACTAGTGTTAATTCTGAACTTCGCTAAACGTTTTCACCATCTTTTCAGATATTGTGTAGAAAATTGACAAATAACCCAATTTTACACAGTCATTTTAGCTTTTCCCAAAGGCGTTATAATACAGTAAGTAAGGGATGACAGCAAGAAAAGGTGCAAAAAAGAAGACTAAACCCCATGGCAACCAGCTGCAGTGAATTATGTTTTCCACCTCAACCACCCCAGTGGTAATGTAAATCAGGTAGAATGTCCTCCTGTGAATAGCTCCATTCATTTCCCTTTGGGAGAAGAGCTGTTCCAGCCTTCTGCCTGCACACATGATTTAATATAAAATGACTGGCAGGCCACTCGCTGAGATATTTACTTACAATAATAGTGTTAATGGTTTGCTTATTGCAACCATCGACCATCCCTCTCCACTCCCTCTTTCTCCCCCTCTCTCTAAAAAACCCTAACATGCAACTCTCTCTCTCTCTCTTTCTCTATATTACCTCCTATCTCTCTTTCCATCGCTTTTGCAATTTTGTCTCTCTCTCTATCTTAGACCTCCTAATAAAATACAAAAAAACTCAATCTCAGCCCTCTTTTTCTCGCTTTCCATCTCTCCTTACCCTCTGTTGGCCGTGCCACAGGTGGGAGTGTTGTCAGAGAGCCAGCTCTAAGAAGGCGTGCCCTCGCCCCCGCCGCCCCCCTCTTCAGCTCCAGGGGGTCAGAGGGGGGTTTGGGGAGGGCCATGGGGCTGACGAGATTTGGGTCCTCATCCTGGGCCACTGGCAACTTGGGCTTCTGGTAGGCCACAAAAATTACTTCATCATTGAAGGGACCAAACACTGATTTAGTGTGTGTAGTCTTCAGCTGATCAGAACAATACACTCAGGCTTTCCAAGACCCCCAACAAATTCACAAGGATACACACAGATGAATGTACTGTACAAGTGTGAGGATATGAGATGTACAGTGAGGAGAACCCACATGTTCCAGAGGAGACAGGCGAGTCCCAGAACCCGGTCTGGAGTCTGGCGCTTCAAAGTTCAGAGCGTAGAGGCTGAAAGAGGAAAAATAGATCTTATTCATTCAGTACACTGTATGGATGTGACACTAGACTACTGCTAGGGCGTTTCACCAGATCCTTAACCTGAATGTAGAGGGAGGTCGACCATCTTGGGCTCGAGAGGAGGTCTCTCCAAACAGCTGTCTGTGGTCGTCTCGAGGGGTAAAAGGTCGCTGGGTGCGCAGGGTCCTCAGGGAGTGCCTGGCCTCAGTGACAATCTCTGCGCTGGTCTTCCTCCGGGGGTGAGGGTTCAGGGTGAAAGGGCTGTGTTTCTCACGCTTCCTCTCCAAAGAAGACATTTTGTGAGGGCTGTTGCCAGCAAGACCAGGGATGAGGTCAGGATAATGACTTTATGGGAATGATTTCATCACTGAAGTGGGTTTTGCCTGGGTGTATTACTGAAGAGGAAGAGGCGGGGAAATTATGAGGAAACCTATTCATTATTCACGAAAGCTATTTACTATATACAGTGAGGGAAAAAAGTATTTGATCCCCTGCTGATTTTGTACGTTTGCCCACTGACAAAGAAATGATCAGTCTATAATTTTAATGGTAGGTTTATTTGAACAGTGAGAGACAGAACAACAACAAAAATATCCAGAAAAACACATGTCAAAAATGTTATAAATTGATTTGCATTTTAATGAGGGAAATAAGTATTTGAACCCCTCTCAATCAGAAAGATTTCTGGCTCCCAGGTGTCTTTTATACAGGTAACGAGCAGAGATTAGGAGCACACTCTTAAAGGGAGTGCTCCTAATCTCAGCTTGTTACCTGTATAAAAGACACCTGTCCACAGAAGCAATCAATCAATCAGATTCCAAACTCTCCACCATGGCCAAGACCAAAGAGCTCTCCAAGGATGTCAGGGACAATATTGTAGACCTACACAAGGCTGGAATGGGCTACAAGAGCATCGCCAAGCAGCTTGGTGAGAAGGTGACAACAGTTGGTGCGATTATTCACAAATGGAAGAAACACAAAATAACTGTCAATCTCCCTCTGCCTGGGGCTCCATGCAAGATCTCACCTCGTGGAGTTGCAATGATCATGAAAACGGTGAGGAATCAGCCCAGAACTACACGGGAGTATCTTGTCAATGATCTCAAGGCAGCTGGGACCATAGTCACCAAGAAAACAATTGGTAACACACTATGCCGTGAAGGACTGAAATCCTGCAGCGCCCGCAAGGTCCCCCTGCTCAAGAAAGCACATATACATTTTACATTTTTACATTTTCGTCATTTAGCAGACGCTCTTATCCAGAGCGACTTACAAATTGGTGCATTCACCTTATGATAGCCAGTGGGACAACCACTTTACAATATTTTTTTATGCATACATTTTTTCATACTGGCCCCCCGTGGGAAACGAACCCACAACCCTGGCGTTGCAAGCGCCATGCTCTACCAACTGAGGTACACGGGCACGTCTGAAGTTTGCCAATGAACATCTGAATGATTCAGAGGAGAACTGGGTGAAAGTGTTGTGGTCAGATGAGACCAAAATCGAGCTCTTTGGCATCAACTCAACTCGCCGTGTTTGGAGGAGGAGGAATGCTGCCTATGACCCCAAGAACACCATCCCCACCGTCAAACATGGAGGTGGAAACATTATGCTTTGGGGGTGTTTTTCTGCTAAAGGGACAGGACAACTTCACCACATCAAAGGGACGATGGACGGGACCATGTACATTTCAAATCTTGGGTGAGAACCTCCTTCCCTCAGCCAGGGCATTGAAAATGGGTCGTGGATGGGTATTCCAGCATGACAATGACCCAAAACACACGGCCAAGGCAACAAAGGGGTGGCTCAAGAAGAAGCACATGAAGGTCCTGGAGTGGCCTAGCCAGTCTCCAGACCTTAATCCCATAGAAAATCTGTGGAGGGAGCTGAAGGTTCGAGTTGCCAAACGTCAGCCTCGAAACCTTAATGACTTGGAGAAGATCTGCAAAGAGGAGTGGGACAAAATCCCTCCTGAGATGTGTGCAAACCTGGTGGCCAACTACAACAAACGTCTGACCTCTGTAATTGCCAACAAGGGTTTTGCCACCAAGTACTAAGTCATGTTTTGCAGAGGGGTCAAATACTTATTTCCCTCATTAAAATGCAAATCAATTGATAACATTTTTGACATGCGTTTTTCTGGATTTGTTTGTTGTTATTCTGTCTCTCACTGTTCAAATAAACCTACCATTAAAATTATAGACTGATCATGTCTTTGTAAGTGGGCAAACGTACAAAATCAGCAGAGGATCAAATACTTTTTTCCCTCACTGTATATGGGTGAATAATAAACACAGTATTTTAAGCCATTGCAGAAATAGGGACCAAAAATGCATCTGAGTAAAGCAAGCAAAACGGCATGCAATGATCTGCAGCATTACAGTGGCTTGTTGTAAATGAGAAAGCCTGCGCGTCCTCGCCAAGTAACCATGGTAACCGAGAGCAGCGGCGACAGCAAGCGTTTGACTAGTGACAACAAACCGGAGTGGCTAAAAAAATAACAGAAATTGTGTACAGAAACGAACAAATTAAATGTTCATCTTAGATACACTCAGAATTTTTCAACGGATAGCACTACCAGGAATACTCACCATGAACTGGTATCATAAACTAAATACCTCGGGAGAGGTGTCAAAAACCAAGCACGCTAGACATGCTAGCCAGGCTAGCCTGTTCAAATGCTTTGGTTAACGTTAGCTAACATCAGCTGGCCGACTTTGGAAATTAAAATAACTTGAATTCCTATTGCTAAAATAAACTTACCGTCTATTGGTGTTGAGACAACACTTGTAGCTACAGCCAAACAGGAAAATGCATTGCTTTTGAAGTTCGATGCAAGTGAGTTTGCAGAGGTTGCCAGCAAATGACTGTCTGACGTCGTCGAGTCTCGGGCACGAGCCTTAACATCAGTTTATGTGCCCAGCATTAGCCCAGGTGATTCCCTCAGCATCTTCACCGTTTTTTCGGTACAACATTAGCATTTGTCACTAAACTGACAAAAATCATGACATTTTAACAAGTCAATTGCATCACACCATCACATAGGCTATCATGTCATACATCACTGAATAATAATTTTTTACCTGTAACCAGGGATGATAACCAATTTTGGGCGTTTAATTGGTTTCTAGATTAGAGAACCTTTGCCAAAATGATATAGTTTTCCTCATCTGTCATTCAATTAAACGGTGCTCTGTCTTTAGACGATCTTTAAAATGGACTTTGTGTTGTTTGTCACATTGTTATCTTTTTATATGTCCTTCCCAGTGCCCCAGAGATGTTTTATACCCAGACTTAACCTGTTTCAACTAATAGGCAAGTACATTTTCCACATTCCACAGACATTACATTCTGGGTAGTATTCAGAATGAGGAAATGATTAATAACAATAACCATCCATTCAGTTGTTTTTAAGAGAGTGAGTGCAGTGCACCCTGTCCCTTTCAACTGAACAGGCTGCCCTGATTCCTGATTTACACCCTCTGGCTAAATTAAAAATCAGCATTAATGTGTCGGCCGCTATGAATCACCCATCTCCTCTTTTTCACTGGCACATTAAACCGCTGCTGACACTTAAGCTCATAATTAAGTAGTGAAAACTGGTAAAGCTTGACTGATACAGTATTTAAAGACTTAGACTGTCTCAGTCTGCCACAGACATTACAGTTAGGTCATTATGTACATTTGTATTAACCCTTTTTGACATTTATACCTTTTATTTCCAGTCAAGGTTTATAGAATTGCTGGAGGGAAGAACCTTGCATTCTCATGACTTTAGTAGTAGGCTATCTGTTGTTGTTCCGTTGTTTGTTGTCATGGTTACGGTAAGGTGGCATGGGCCATTGCTATACAGTACTTTGACCTCTCCCTTAAGTTTCACTCACCTTAATGAAATACCAGGCAATTAATGTTTTATTCAACAACATAAAATCGGAACTTTTTTAAATATAAGCTGTAAAATGGTAACAATGTAGACACAGATATGAAAAGATAAGTTATTTATTTGTATTACAGAAATTATGATAGAGTTGAGACATTCAGACATTTTAATGTACATGGGGTCATACATTTATGTAGTCTACTTTATAATTAACATAAGGCTGTAGAAATTCATTAAAACTGCTAAAAATATGTGGATAAAATCTGATTTACAAACCTTTTAAACGTGTTTCCAAAGTCCATCTAAAAATGTTGGTCACCATTACGGCATATGTTGCAGGTGATATTGTTGGATTAAATTCAATGAAAACAAATCTCGAAACAATCGTAATGGCTGACTTAGCAGGAGAACATTTGTACGCCATTTTGTGGTCCGTGAAAATGTGACGTTGTTAAAATAAAAAAGCAAACACAAAATGGCCGCGGACTTACGTCAACTTTTTCATCCGGTGCTTTGCTTTCGAATGCTGCTCCTCTGCGAGATGTAAAGTATTTTTCGTACAACATTCCTGTGGCATGAACAACCAATACCCAGTGGCCCCCTGACACAGTAGTACAGGAGAAACGAGACCTCCAGCTTTAGTTCATTCTGTCCACCCGATTTCACCGTTCAGTCTCTCCTCACTGCCACAGCTTCATTTAGGGCAAAGCAGGCATGAGTGCAAGTAAGGGATAGAGTTCTATCAATATTCATAAACAAACTCAAGGTAGAGGGATAGAGGAGTACAACATGCATTGGTACACTGCTTTCATTCATTCAACTCACGCTTCACCCTGGGTCAGTTTAACCCCGAAGATGGGTCGATCACTTTGCAGAGATCAGGTCTGTCTGGATTTACAACGTTCGTCCACTCGCAAACCTTTCCCCCCCCCTGCATTTTTTTCCCAAAGTAGAAACGTACATCTGAGCAATTTTGTGTCTCTCTTGTTGGATTTAAATAGCCCTACATGCTTCAGTCTCATGGATACAGTGAGCCTGATTGGACGAGAGTGCATGGTGGGCATGCCCAATCAGAGGGCATCACCATGGTGCTTCCCAGCCAATGAGAGTAGGAGGATGGTCTCTGTGATTTTATTGTCACTAAGGGAGGGGGAAACATACTGCCAGGACAGTTGGCACTAACATGGTGAGCAGTGGAGGAGGCTGTTACAGTCAAAGTGTATATCACTGATATGGCTTGGGAGCAGTAGCAGTAATCATTGAGAGAAAGAACAGAACGGCTCGAAAAATGCCAGCAAACACACACTCCCACCACAGACACGTCACCGTTATAACTTGTCCTCACGTCACAGTGAGGAAAAATGGGTTGATTTGCGAGAGCTTTCGTCCTCCTTGAAGGTGGCGCATCTCCTT